GCAAGGATCATATTTATTTATTTATTTATCCCTCTAATAGAGAGAGACCCCAGTGAAGATAGAGAGAAGGGAGACTCCTACTGCAGAGAGTGAGAGAGAAAACTATTGGCTGTAGAGACTTTTACTGCAAATAAAAACCCCGAGGTAGGGAGGGGCAAGGCTGTGGAGGGTCGTGAAGGTGAGGATGAGGATCTTGAATTCGATCCTCTGAGGGATGGGGAGTCAGTGGAGTCGGGCGAGGGTGGGAGTGATGGGGTCGCGGAGCCTGGTGCGTGAGAGTACACGAGCTGCAGAGTTTTGGATGACCTGCAGCTTGTGAAGGGAAGAGTTGGGAAGGCCGATGAGGAGGGAGTTCCCATAATCGAGCCTTGATGTGACGAATGCGTGGGTGAGGGTTTCGGCAGCCTGAGGGGTGAGGCAGTGGTGGGGTTTGGCAATGTTGCGGAGGTGGTGGTAGGCAGTGCCGGTCATGGCGCAGGTGTGGGGGAGAAAGGACAGTTCAGGGTCAAACAAGATACCCAGGTTCCTGACTGGCTTAGTGAGGTCGAGTGTGCAGCCGTGGAGGCTGATGCTGCCAGCGACTGAGGTTATGAATATTCCATTCATCCCACCTATACATGGAAATTCCAGAGATAGAGTGTTGGAATGAAATGTGCACTCTCTCCCTGGACAAATGCATTCTGTGAACCTAATTCTGGGAAGTATTAGGTGCAGGTTGGGAAAAGCCAAGGCTTGGGAACCCCTTAATGTGTGTTGTGATACTGCTGGAGTTTAACCAGCTAAAACTGCATTGATACGCCATTGCCAGATATCACTGTCCGGCAAGCTTTCCCACTGCTTGTCCAGCTAGGACCATCCTACCCATTAAAGCTTTGGCTTGCAGGGTTAACAGGAGCTGAGTGGGATGACACCCCATCCCCAATGGCTGGTGTGCCCTTCCAGGTCCTGCTGATGAGCCAGACTGACTGTGCTGTCAGTGCTCTGCACTTTTATGGACCCTCCTGGCTCTGGAACCAAACTACAAAGACTGCCACAGAGGACTGGCTCAATTCCGACATTCCACTGCCAGGTTGTCACATTGGAGCAAGGTCTGCTCCAAGGAGACTGTCTTACCTCCCCCACCGCACACCCCAGAGGATAATCACAAGGTGGTCATTCGACATCTGACAGGCACGGGTTTGAATCCTCACTAAGTCGATGATAGGTACCAAGGATTCCCTATGAGCTTCCCGGTGGGCAACCCATCTCAGCATGAAATGCGTGAGAGCATTGCCATCATCTGCCTGTCCGCAGCCCGGGCACACATCCCTTCCCATTGAGCAATGGTTCCACCAATTGGAGGTGTGGAGTTTAATCATCAGCGGCTTGCTTCTCTGCAAATCAATCAAAGAGGATTCCAGGTATTGGTGTACGAACGTGTGTTCACAAACTCAGATTCCAGGTAATGCCTTCCAGCAGCTATCAGATCCCTACTGTAGAGAGAGAGAGTCCCTTACTGTAGATTGACATATGACAAGGAAAAAACACTGAAAAGAAAGTGACAGGATGTTTTATTAACGTCCAAGCATGAAGAGAAATAGGAACATTTAATTGTGTAGAAAACGGTATACATTTATATTTACAATCCAGTCTGACTACTTTCTTTTGAAAAAAAATCATTCTCCCGGAGATAACTAATGAAACATTTATAAAAGTTACAAAAACATGGTGCACATTTTTTTGATGAAGCATGTGAAATAACCATGACCTTTCTTTGTCAATTTCTTGCCCTTCCATTTAACGTTTGTTAAGGTTGGATATGATGGGCCAAATGGCCTCTGTCTGTGCTGTAACCTTTCTAGGATGCTATATACAAGTAAACAATTGCTATTTGTCAGCAGACAAAAGAACTTGTAAAACCCCAGTGGCTGATTGTAACTCACATTATAACCTATAATATCATTAGCATGCATGGGACATGGGAGCAGACACATATCTCCTCCCCTCCCCCAATAGTTTGGGAATTCATAAAATGCAGCAAAATTTACATTTTGATGCCTATGTTTCCTAAATGTTCATAAAAGACAATGCTTTTCTGACCCTTCCAAGTGATTTCTCCCTCTCGTCTGCCAGTGCATAACTCAGCCATACTTTCAAGACTTTGTAGAATAATAATTCTTGTATTTGATATAGCGCCTTATCATGTCATTGAGACGTCTCAATGTGCTTCATAGGATATACTGTAAAGTGAATTGACTGTGATTGCAATTGTGCACAACAGTGTCCCACCAACAGTCATGGATTGAGTGACCAATTTTTTTTTAAGCGATCCACCATTCGACTAACAACTGGGTTCCTACTTACTGCTAAGTTTCAATCCACGATTGTTTGTGGGACACTGCTGTGTGCAATTGGCTGCCGCGTTTTGCCCACAAATATATGGTCAATTCACTTTACAGCATATTCTGTGAAGCGCTTTGAGATGTCTAGAAGACATGAAAAGCACTATATCAAATGCAAGGATTATTATTATTATTATTATAAGTAAACAGAGGCATGTGGAGTAAGGAGACTTGTCTACCCAGGAATCGAACCCAGGTCCTCTTGCTTGCAAGGCGAGTGCTATAACCAATTTTCCACAGGACTCCTCTTGCAGCAACCTGAATGTCTGCAGTCTCTGTTTGGTCTAAGTGGGCAGTCATAAAGAAGGGAAGTGGGGGGAAAATATAAATAACTTAAAAAGAAATTAATTCCATTACAACCTTAGAGTTAGCATACTCTCAATGCAACAGAGCATGCTATTATAGCTTACAGGTTTAGCAAATTCTAACACCAGTTAACCTTTGGTTAACCACCCAATCCACAGTAAATAGAATTTCCTCTTGCTAATGAGCATTGTATTTCAATTGATCCATTGATGGATACTATCACAGTAATACATTATTAAGAACTGTTCCTCCATCACTGGGACACTTATCCCCAAGAACCTCAGTATTCTTGTAAGCATTAACAGTCCAATATTCAGGCAGTATTCGTCAAGTGGAGGAGAATCAGAGAAGAGCGCATTGCCTTCCAATTGTAAATTACACCAATACACTAAAATTCAGTACAGAAGATTAACATACACAAAATAAATACATCTCAAAGAAATATTTAACGTGCTATGGTACAAAAATAATTTAACACCATTTGAAAGAGGACAGTACTGCTGGGTGCTTACAATCTAGTTTGTAATTCTCAGAGGGACCACACCATAATCCAATGGTAGTGAGTTACTGTAAGAGTTGGTACATCAGTTACCATGGATAATGTTCCACATGATATTTACAGAGTTCAATGAGCTGAAAAATGTGATGCTTCAAGATTCGCTAATGTGTTTGATAAATATTAATTGTTATGAAACATTGCACTTTTCACCCCTCGTGTTTTCGAAAAGCATTGGCTAGGACAAATGTTTCCATCAGGAAGTTTTACAATTGTAAGTTCTGACATCTGGGATGGTAGCACAGGAGAACTTTGTATTCCAAATGAGTCAGGTTTTAGGATCGCTTGGAAGATCAGTAGCTTTGTTTTCATTACTGACATTAATGTGGGATTGAACCTCATCTTTGGCTTGTGGTCCTTATATATTTGACTCTACCTCTGCAAGGCAGATACAATTTACGTTCTTTGTACATTTCATCCACTAGAAACCAGCATATATGCAAATGTCCTTTGTATAATGCTGAGTGTCTTTGTAAACGCCATTATAATTAAAAAAAAACGACTGTCTGAAAGCACCACAACACAAAACGTTCAACACAACTAGTTTTTTTTAAAAAAAGAGCAACTTGCTCTCCTCTCATTTTATGTGCAGACCTGACGTGTTTGAAATTCAGCTTCATCTTTTAAAAGTATAACATTTTAATGATTTTCAAAATAATCTAGAAATGGAATGGCTAGATAATATTGCAGGTGATTTGTCATCAGGGATTTCCAAAATGTTCTGGGCGACTACGATCCCTCTCCCTAACATTGTACGCTAATGTCCTGTTTATGGCCACAAAACTCTTTCAGTTTGTCAAACTTTGAGCCCCAGTCTCTGAGATAATCGTAGTTCAAGTCTTCCTCGATGCTGGATGTTTCCACAGAGCTGAGGCTGCCAGCCAGTGAGCCCCGGCCCTCAAAGCAGTAAACGTGCACCGTGTCCTCAGGGATGGCTCGCAGGTCATTGTCTGCATCCCAGATAATCCGAGACACATACTTCTTGAAGTCTAATGTACTGGATGCACTGATTTCAGCAGGGGTCATGTTAAGGCCAGGATTCAGACTCGCCTGTGGTTTCTCTTGTGAATCGGGAGAGACCTTTAGCAGTGGAGCTGTTGTTGCTGAGGATGACTGGGACAGGCTTGTTCGCAGAGGTTTCTTTAGTTCACTGATGTCATAGCCATTCTAAACACGGAACAAAACAGCACATGAGGATTTGAGGTTAAAAAAAAATTGACAGGGTTGATCAGAGATAGAATTAAAAATGAATTAACTGGAAATTGGCAAATTTCCATTGACAAATGTTGGTGGTCTCACAGTTTTGCCTTGAAAGTGCACAGGAAGAATCAATTGAAATGAACCCACTTAGTTTTAATAATAGTCTGTATATTTGATATAGCGCTTCATCACATCTTTGAGATGTCTCAAAGCACTTTACAGAATATATTGTAAAGTGGATTGACTGTGTATTTTGTGGGCGAAATGCGTAGCCAATGCACAAAGCAATGTCCCATAAACAATCATGGATTGAGTGACGATTTTTTTTTGAGGGATTATTATCCCTGAAAGCAATACACCAATTGATTAACATATAGCCAGCATTTGATTTTTATAAATGTTACTTGGAATGTATTTGGAAAGTTTACAACAGCCAATAATGGTTTACTGCATTCTCCACTGTGAATTTCACATAATGTAAATCAGGAATAAATAAAACACTGGAGAAACTAATGGCATTTATTTTAAACCCTTCAATTAGAACCCTCTTCTCTGGGCCAGCGAAAATAATCCCATCTATTCAAATTACCCAACATAACCATAATCCCTTTCCCTAGTATTAACCAAGTGAATTTCTCGTGGACCTTCTCCATGGCTGTGACGTCCTTTCTATAACAGATTATCCAAAGCCACTCAACTCAACTCCAATTGTGGCCTAACTAATGTCTTGCCCATATTCAGAATTATCTCTTATCTGGTATTTGTAGCATTCAAACATTCAACAAAGCTTTTGAGAAACATAACATACAAACAAACTATTGAAACAGTCTCACAGAGACTGTGCACACATAATAACAACAAAATTACATTTGTAAAGTGCCTTTCACGTTGGGAGGCTGTCCCAACGTGCTGAACAGTCAAGGATCAGGACCCGAGCATGGGGGCAGGGTTGGGATAAGGGAGGGCGGTAGGAGGGCGGCTGAAGGCACGGTCGAAGGGGAGGGTCGTGCCTTGAAGGAGCCAAGGGAGGGAGCAAGATGAAGGGACTGTGGGATGGAGTACCAAAGGGTGGAGGCAGAGAGGTTGAGAGTCCAGTCGCCGATAGTAGGGCTGGTCGGGCGGAAGGCATGGAGCAGGCTGCTGAATGGAGGGAGCGGACAGGTTGATAGGGGGTCAGCAGATCAGAGAGATAGGAGGGGGCAAGGCCATGGAGGTCCTTGAAAGTGAGGATGAGGACTTTGAATTCCATCCTCTGAAGGATGGGGATCCAGTGGAGCCGGGCGAGGGTAGGGGTGATGGGGTCATGGAGCCTGGTATGGAAGAGGACATGAGCTGCAAAGTTCTGGATGATCTGCAGCTGGGAGGGAAGAGTTGGGGAGGTCGACAAGGAGGGATTTCCGTAGTCGAACCTTGAGGTGATGAATGCGTGTATGAGGGTTTTGGCAGCCTGAGGGGTGAGGCAGTGGTGGAGTTGAGCAATGTTGCAGAGGTGGGGGAAGGCAGAGTGGGTCATGGCACGGATATGATGGAGAAAGGACAGTTGAGGGTTAAACAAGACGCCTAGGTTCCTGAGTGGCTCGAAGAGGTGGAGTGTGCATCCGTGGATGCTGATACTGCCAGTGCCTGAGGTGTGGAAGCCTTGGTCTTGCTGACATTCAGCTGTAGAAAGTTGGCTCTCATCCAAGACTTGATGTCTGACAGAAAGTCTGTCAGGACATCAGTTGTCCTGGAAGCAAGGGAGTGATGATAGCTGTCTTTAAGGAGATGGGAATGGTGCCAGATGATAGGGAGAGATTGATGGTGTCGTAGAGTAGATGGGCACGAAGGTGGAGCTGGGAGATAAGGAGAGGGGTGGGGATGGGGTAAAGGGAGCAGGTGATGTATTTCATGCTGAATATGGTGGTGATGAGAGAGGAGGGGGTTGACAGGTTTGAAGATGTGGAGGGAGGGATGGGTAGGAGTCGGAGTGTGGTGGAGCGAGATGGGGAGGGAATAGCGGGTTGAAGGGCGAAGACAGCTGATTGGATCCCCTCAAATTTTGGACTTGAGGAAATCCAGCATCTCCTCACAGTCAGTTTGAGGAGAGAATGGGTGAGGCATGGGAGGGTGGATGGAGGAGTTGGTTGGTGGTGAAGAGGAGCCTGAGGCTGTCCTTTGCTTCCAAGATTATCTTGGAGTAGCAGGATTATCTGGAGGAGGCGAGGGCGGAGGGGTACGTTTTGATGTGGTCCAGCCAGATCTGCCGGTGGACTGTTAGATCAGATTTGAGCCAGGTGCGTTCAGCGGCCCCCACCTGACCCTTGAGGAGCGGAGGTGGCTGTGGTATCAGGGTGAGGTTCGTGAACAGGAGGCGGTTTGGGAGGTGAGGGGGTAAGGGCATCAAGAATGGTGGAGAGGGAGATGTGGAGGAGAGTGAGCGAGGAGGATAAATCAGTGCGGGAGGTGGGCCAGAGGGGGAGGAGTCCAAGGCAGTGGAGAGGGAGTGCGGTGAGATTGTTTTCCATGGGTGGTTGGAGATGGAGGTGGGTTAGGTGGCGTTGGGGAGAGGGATTGAGGAGTTAAAGGAGATGAAATGGGGTTATCATAGGGGTTATCATGCATTTATCCCTCAAAGTAGCAATTATTTTATTATGCTGTCATTATGGGAAATAACAAAAGATTGTTGTATTTAGTAATTGATGGGTGATAAGATTCCACAATTTTTGTTTCCTAATGAATTCAATATTTTGCATTAAAAAAGAACCATACCTGATCCTCTTCTCCACCTCCTTCCTCATCATAATTCAGAATGTTTTCTCGAACATCTTCCCAGCTCTCATGCTCTACAGGAATGTGGTAAACTCCTCCTTTCTGGAACTTAGTCTTTCCACACATTGACCAGACACTGAAGCCAACCACCAAAACTGAAATACCAAAGGCACAGTCAGATCTCAGCAAACTCAGTAACTTCAGTGCAGCTGGTCTAGGTAAGAGAAAATGTCAACCAAAGTTCCTACACCTGGCTGCTACCTAGTGACTCTACTGTGGACAGTGGGGAGGGACAGGATCATGACCAAATAGCCTGCCAACAATCCACTGTCTAGGTTCACACATGAAGAATGTGCCACTTAGGCTTAGTGGGATGCTGAAGAGGGATGCTGATGCCCATGTAATTCTACAGCAACATGAATCAATGCCTTAAGGGAGAAGTGGAGACGATTCAGTGATCAGCTCAGCCACGCAGACTGAAAAGGTACTTGGTTCAGTCTCTGGTCTGTACGGAGTTATTTGATCACGGTAGGCAATAGAGGACAGACAACTGTCTTAATTACCTGGATTAGGGAAAATGGGGGGAGGGATGGAAGGAGAAATCAAGGTTCTGCTCCTGATTTCTATCTAGTGATCCCTGTTGGAAAGTAAACAACAACAACAACTTGCATTCATATAGCACCCAACACGCCGGGCGTTTATATAGTGCCCACCACACCTCAGAGCGCTTAACAATAGTGGAGCCCAAGGCTGAGCCAGGGTTTGGGGGAAAGTGACCGTAGGCACGGTCGAAAAGGAAGGTCTTTGGATGCGACCTGAAGATGGGGAAGGAGGGGTGGAGGCAAAGGGGTTGAGGGAGGGAGTTCCAATGTTTCAGGGCGTAGTGACTGCTGATGGTGGAGAGGAGGATTCGGGGGACATGGAGGAGGTCGATCCCAGCAGAGCAGAGGTAACGGGTACTGCTGTGGGGAGAGAGGAGGTAAGAGAGATGGGTGGGGTGGGAGTGCCAAGGAATGGAGGGATTTAAGCACTAGAGTGAGGATCTTGAAGTCGATCTGCTTTGTGACAGGGAGCCAGTAGTTTCGCAAGGACTGGTGTAATCGGGGTGTGGAGTTTGGTGCAGGTGAGAATGCAGGCGGCAGAGTTTTGAATGAGCTGGATTTTGTGAATAGTGGAGGAGGGGAGACCAGCAACGAAGGCATTTGAGTAGTCCAGCCGAGAGATGACAAAGGCATGGCCAAGGGTTTCGGCAGCTTTTGGTGTGAGGTATTGTTGGAAACGGGCAATGTGGTGGAGATGGAAGAAAGCAGTGCCTGTCAGGGACCGGATGTGGGGAAGGAAGGATAACTGGGAATCGAACCTGACACCTAAGATGCACATGGGTTCAGAGAGTTTTAAGGACAGGTTAGGTAGGTTGAGGAGGTCGGAACCGTGGGACAGAAGACGTCGGTGGGAGCCAAAGAGTATGGTATGGCTTCCATCTTGTTGATGTTTAACTGCAGGAAATTTGCGCTCATTCAGCTCCTGATGTCCAACAGTCAAGCTGACAGAACATCAGCTCGAGGTGGAAAAGTAGAGTTGAGTGTCATCCGCATACATGTGGAAATTAACGCCATGTCTGCGGATTACATCACCGAGAGGGAGCATATAGATGAGGAAGAGGAGGGGGACAAGGATGGAGCCTTGGGGTACCCTGCAGGTGACCGGGTGGAAGCGCGAAGAAAAGCCATTTGCAGAAATGTAGTGCTGGCAGTTTGTAAGGTGGGACTCGAACCAGGTGAGTACGGTCCCACTAAGGCGGTGGAGGAGAATGGCGTGATTGACTGAGTTAAACGCGGCGGAGAGGTCCAGGAGGACAAGGAGGCAAAGGGAGTCCTGGTCACAAATAGAGAGGATGTCGTTTGTGACCTTCACGAGTGCCGTCTCTGTACTGTGGGCAGGGCAGAAACCGGACTGGAGGGGTTCGAGTAGGGTGTGGAGGGAGAAGTGTGCGCAAAGTTGGTTGGTAACAAACGGTTCCAGAGCTTTGGCAAGGAAGGGCAGATTTGAGATAGGGCGGTAGTGGCCGAGGTTGGAAGGATTGAGGTTAGGTTTTTTGAGGAGGGGGGTGATGACCGTGGTTTTGAGGGCGAGTGAGACTGATCCTGAGGAGAGAGACTGCTTAATAGTGTCTGCCAGCAGTGGCAGAGGAGGGGGAACTGAGTGATCAGCAGTTGGATGGGGAGGGTTCTAAACCTATGGAGCAACTCCCTATGGACATAATCTGATGACTATGAATAACCATGGTTTAATAGCCTACCATGACCCATTGTAAAGGCTTACACATACTAGCCACTTGGGCACGATACCAGAGGGTGTCTAGGAAAGTGTTTTAGGCGTCTAAGAAAAGGAAGTGAAACATATTTTAGGGGTAAACCCATAATGGTACTTTGGGATGCACCAAAACAGTAGAACATGTGTGTACAATTGGGGCAATTTCAGGACAGATTTTTTTTACCAAGAGGGTATTTAATGACTGGAACAGGTCACCAGCAAGGATAGTTGAGGCCAGGACTCTTTTAATAAACTGCTTGATGCTATGATGGGAAGATGGTAGGCTGGGTATTCTGGAGGGACGAGATTAGGTGTGCTGAAGGACTTTCTTCATTTAACAATGCTTATGATCTTGTGAAGAGAAATAGGGAGAAAGTTGGCAAGGAAACAGCTCTTCCCTCCCCCGAAATAATTTTATTGAAGTACCTAAGAACAGGAGCAGACACATGCTGATGGCCAGAAGGGAAGTGAGGCTCAGTCCCACAGGGGATCCTGAAGTCACCAGGCTGATCTCACACCACTGGCCTTTATAACCTTCTGCACAATGGCAAACAAAGCGGACAACAGTTTGTGCGATGCACGTGCCCCCATTTCGACATGTCCATTGTCCACAGGGTGATACAGTGCAGTGCTCGAGACCTGTGTGGCTGTCTCTCAGTGCTGTCTGACCAGCTGGACACCTGCAATAAAAATGACAACCTGTCACTTAATGGTACTGTGCTTACCAACACTTTGATTTGTCCCTCATTTCAACCACAAGGGGACATTGAAGCTTTTTCCAATGTCAATAATACAACAAATGACATGTGTATAGCATCTTTCATGTTGTGAAAGATGTCCCAAGGCACTGGATAGTCAGAAATTTGGACCCGAGCTGGGGGTCAGGATCGGGGAGGGTGGAGGACAGGCAGGGAGGCCGAAGGCTCGGGTGAAGAGGAGGCTTTTGAGACGGGCCTTGAAGGAGGCAAGGGAGGGAGCAAGGCGAAGGGAATGTGGAATGGAGTTCCATAGGGTGGGGGCAGAGAGGCTGAAGGTCCGGCCGCTGATGTTTGAGCGGGCCAGGCAGGGGACGTGGAGCAGACCAGAGCCTGCTAAGTAGAGGGAGTGGACAGGTTGATATTATTACATTTAATTTAGCGCCAGAAGTCCTGATCTGTGATTAAAACCCACAACCTTTTAACTCTGAGAAAACAATGCTATCTACTGCACCAGACTGACAGCTTGCCCTCTCCCTGTGAAGAACCTAGTTTTCATTAGCCACCTCTCTCACAGGCTAGAAAAGGAATTTGTAATATAACTATTTGTTACAAATAATCTGGTGCATATCATATCTTCAAAATGCAGTGCATTTGTGAAAAGGCAATGGTGCCCTACCTGCACTCGTGTTTCCTCCACAAGTCCACACAATTAAATGGGATGCTACAGGGCCTGTTGATACAAGCATCTGAGTGACAACCAATTGTCACACCTTGTCGATCCAGGGTCATGGTCAAAGCTGTACTCTTCCCATCCAGCGGCAGGAGATGACCGTTTAATCGGACATCACGCATACAGCCTGAATTTAAAACAACACAACAGTATAACCTTTTCACATTTTCTAGTCACGTTGATTTGATAATGGTTGCTGAAATTATTCCATTAAAAAAAAGAGATAATTCACATTATATAATGCCTTTCACAGGTTGAAATAATCCACACATTTGATGTTGTGTCTATAATATCTCAAAGTGCTTCAAAGTTAATTTCTATAAAGTGTACGGACTGTGTATTTGTAGGCGAAGACATCAATTGTTTTTCCCAAAACAATCATGAAGTGAATGATTAATTTATCTGAAAGATTATTCACCAGGACACCGGGAGAAACTCCCTTCTCTTTTGGAATCGTGTTGTTCCACCCGAACAGGCAGAGAAAGCCTTGGTTTACTATCTCATCCAAAGGACAGCACCTCCAAAAATGTGTCGCTCCTCCAGGACTGCATTGGAGTTTCATTGTAGACTATGAGTTCAAAGTTCTGACCTGGGGCTTGAACTCACATTCTTCTGACCTAGAGGTGAGAGTGCTATCAACCGAGCCAGGCTGACACCCAATGTAAATGTTTCAAAATACTTAATGCGGATAAATGATGAACTATACCTTGGAAATCGCTTGCTGGATGTTCAGGAAGGCTGCTGCCCAACACCAGACTAGAAGGATCTATCAGGATTTCTCTGTGAGTACCAAGGACTGAGGTAACCTCACGAGCACCTCCTCCATGCTCAAGACGTAGAGTGAATTCGTTGTCGTGTCGGTCCATGTTTACAATGGTCCATTCCCCATTGTCGACACGTATTGTTGGCAGCTTCAGTGAATGTTCCCAGTCACCAAGATTGGCACGAACTCCAACATACCCATCGACAATCTATTTTATAACAGCAAAAAATAGCAGGAATGATTCTGGGCTCTTTTGACCAAAGTCTGTGTTTTTAGCAATAATTTGTATCCCCATGAATTTCCTTCTCCCACAGAGAGCAACAGACGTGATAATCTGATTGAGATGGTTCAAGTGATATCAGAAATTTAAATTAGAGTTAATGTTACATAAAAAGACCTCAAATCACTCCCGTATTTCTCAACAAGATGCCTGTGAACTCACCTGAGGCATTCCTGGCTTTGACTCTGTTTGAATGCTGACTGAAACTCTGAGGAATGCACCATTACTTTTCATCAAATTTCTAATACATCACTAGTGAAGAATATATTATTCAATATCATTGTATCAGAAACTGGAGTAAGTCACAGCCAAGAAGGAGATAATTCAGCCCATTAACCTGCTGCTAGTTCTGTCATTGAAGCAAACTATTTTATTCCTAAGTCCTTGTTTTTTTTCCTTTTATATTGTTCCTCTTCAGGTGTTTATCCATGACATTTATCACTTGTAACTCATTTTTCACTTATTTACATTGTGTTAACACATTGTCAGGACAGTTTGAGATTTCTACCTCCAGTACGATGTATTCACTTCTGTCCTTGGATGCCAGGCTGAACAGAGAAGAATTGGGAGTCCGGGTCCGAAGCATCAGTTGCGTGTGTGTTTTGCGAGTGCTCAGAGCACCTCTCTGCTGGTGCTGAATCATACTGTCCTTTTCGAAAGACCATTCTGGCAGAGCTACGGACAACCAAACCAAAGGTTAGTCATGTCAAACACCAATATAAGATGGAACTCCAGCAGCAAAGCACATCACCTACAGAGAATAAACCTGCACAGGAATAAACACCATACAGAGCAAGTTGTATCTGTCACAGGTTTTGTATGGTATTCATCTATCTACCACTTGTCTTCAGATAGTCTGCACCATGTCACTTCCTCAGTTCTGGGAGTAGCTCCCAGGAATTGGCTTATTTGGATCTTCAGCTAACCATTTTGAGAGGTCTGAAAATTGCTACATCCGCCAATTCTCCCTCCCCCACCATTGCCCATGGGCGACTTAAAGCCTTCACATTCTGCCTGTTCCTGACAGCACAGATGACACTGATAAGTCACTGGAAGGCTCAGGCTTGGCTCTGATTCCCTACATTCATTGTGAAAGTTTGCACTGAATAATGAAAGAGCTACCGGAAGACTTGTGCAGAACTGAACATAAGGTGAAACATACCTCAAAAAACACCTTCAGAAGAGGAGGAAGGCAAGGGAAGGGAGGAGAACGGATGACTGAGTGGTGGTTGGACTCTGGGCCATTGCACAGCGTCATTTGTTTCACAAAGACAAGTCAAACCACATGTTATAAACTCCCTGTGTGAGATAATCTGCTTGTAGCTATGGGTGGAGACTTTGCAGATGAGTGTTAAAAACAGGAATTCTTCTTCCCATTAGAAGCGCACAGTGGAAAATTTACTGACCCGAGCAGCACCAGGAATCTCCCCCCATGCCCCATTAATTAACTTTTCAGAAATGATGCTGTGTGAGCAGCTTTATTGTTTGTAAAAAGCAGTTGAAGCTCCTTTGAGGTGAGTTTGGTAATCACACAAGTGGATACATCATTAATATTTAAGTGACTGTATAATGAGCATGGAGGGCATAATCTGCATACATTACAACAGCACCAGGGACTTTAAATCTGCCAAGAAAAGCTGTGCATGTTACAATCAAGTGGTCACAGAAATGAAACCTACAGAAACCAAACCCTGGAGCTGACCACTAAACTCTCGAGGACAATCATTGGGGAATCGTTCTTAAAAATGTTATTAATATTATTTGCAAATAATTTAAAGTTACTTTCTCATTGCAAAAGTAGACTAATAAAACAGGGTGACTTGAAAAAAACAACACTGGTGGCACAGACAAGATTGGCCAAAGGGCCTCCTTTACTGAAAAGATTTATGCTTCCATGTTTTATTCAGCGTGTCTGAAAGTGCTGTATGAACAGGATGATGCAGTGATGCAGAGTCGCACAGTGATGCACAAGGCTGTGGTAAAACACGATTAAAGTCTGAATTGCAGACTCGTAATAGGAGTCATCAACAACTATGATTTAGAAATACTGCAAATAACTTGGAGTATGTAATGGCAACCTGCAGAACTCTACCCAAACACAACCTTTTCCATCCGTTTTCTGTGAAGAAGCACGGTATTCTTCCGACCATCGAAGGAGATTGAATTTTCAACTCTGAAAATGACTAATTCTTGATATAAATCATTGCCATTTCGATTCTCAAGGTTCTGATTTTGTGTTATGCTATTGCCAGAGGTTCTGAGGGACCTGGCCAACAATCCTCCAAACAACAACTTGCCTCTATATAGCGCCCTTCATTCAGGATAGCATCTTGGAGTGCTGCAGAGTGGCTGAGCAAGAGAAAGGGGAGGGAAAGGTGATCATAGGCACAGTCAAAGAGATAGGTATTAAAGTGGGATTTAAGGATAGATAATAGAGGGTGAGGTGGAGGGATTGAGGCAGAGAAATAAACTGATCATTGTTGTTTTGGGATCCTGCTGTGCGCAAAATGGCTGCTGCGTTTGCCCTCAAATATTGTCACTGGACTTGACAACAATGGCCTGTGAAATGCTTTGAAACATTTCAAAGGTGCTTTATCAAATGTGAACTTTAACATGCAATGCTGTTATGGTCATCCAAGAGCAGAAGATTCTAAATCCCAGATACACACTATTTAAGTGTTAAATGAACAGGGATCTCATAAGTCGCATTGTAAATTCACTCATAGTAAATTAATTTAAAAATCATTTATTTCAATTTATTGTTAAATTGAGACGTGTGAAGGGTGCTATATAAATGCAAGTTGTTGTTGTTCTCTGCACTGTCATTCTCATTACCTTTGTCACACTTGTAGCCTGTGTAGCCAGGTTTGCAGTCACAGCTGAAAGAGCCCCATTCCCCTAAACATTTCCCATGAACTCCACAGGAGAAGGTCCCAGCACTGTGGCACACCCCATCAGTCACGGCACAGCCTGGGCTGCTGTTTGAGGATTCCCCAGGGTTTCCCAGGTCATATACCTGTGGGAGAGAAGGAATATCAGCTTAACATGTTTTTATATTGTATTCAAACATTAAAATTACTATTTAGGTTATCAATAAAATCACAATATTGCAACAAGTTGATTTGCCAACACTTAACTATAAGCACAAATAAACAATTATTAATTAAATGGGAGAAAATTGTGGTATGTCATGTAATCATCTCTGGTGATAATTAACAATTCATGCATTGGAATTTTCACTCCTATATTTCTACTCTTAAGCAACTGTGGAGTCCTATAGCTTAGTAGTTAAAGCACCTCGGTTCGATTCCTGGGCAAGGTGAAAGGTTGGGCAAGTTTCTTTACTCGGCATGCCTCTGTTTACCTAGCACTAAGTATGAACCTGGTTATTAGTCGATTGGTGGATCCCTTTCCCAGGGTAATCCTTAAAAAAATAAAAGCTAATAATAATTTACTCACTCCATCCATGACTGTTTGTGGGACACTGCTGTGCGCAATTGGCTGCAGAGTTTTCACCCACAAAATATCCAATCAATTCACTTTGCAGTACATTCTGTGGAGTGCTTTGAGACGTCTCGAAGACGTGATAAGGCGCTATATCAAATGCAAGGATTGTTATTATTATTATACATGCTCATAGTTTAGCCTTAAGGCTACTGTGTTAAAAAGAACTCCTGAAAATTGACTTCCAAATTATAAAAATACTGGAATGTCGAAAGTGGGTCACGGATGTCACTTCTCATGTGCCAGTAACAACATTTGTACGCTGCTACATAGCACAGGGCAAGACAGTCCACAGGGCAAGACAGTGCACAGGAAATGATGTTCATGACGACTTTGCGACCATTCTTTTTTTTCATCAAAAGGCTAGCTAGATATTGCAAAAAAATCAAGCAAAAATAAAGGTTGATATTACTTGTCTAAATTCAAACCAAATTAAAATTGAAATCAGTTAAAGTGTATCACAGCTAGCGTCCCGCTACCAGCCACTCACAGGTGAGCCCTTACCTTACTGTCAACAACCAGATTCCGCACGCAGCCCACAAATCCTGGGAATTTCGCTTGTTTGCTATGGTATGGCAGCGACTCCTTGACTCCACCCAGCTGAAGAGGTTGGTAAACATTTAGAAACCTGGTGGAGACAGAAAGCAACCCAGTTGTGTTTCCTCTGAACTTCTGAAAGACCGCGCGGAGAAAGGAGTCACTTTGGATGGGGGTGAGGAGCACTGTGTGTTTTTCGAACACTAGAGATATTGTCGTTCCTTAACCTTAAAATGGGACTTCAACATTAAGCTGGAGGCTGATTAGATTGGACTGAGAGGAGTCATAAATCAGGGATAACAAGTTAAGAATAAGTTAGGAATAAGGCTGAATTTGCCAGAAATCATGGGGCAAACTACTTGAGACAAAGGATTAAAATGGCAAGAGAGTGTGATCACCAAAAGTCACTAATGAGCAAGATTTGGAGAAGGAGTTAAATATTTAGTGGATGACGGAATTCTCAACTCAGCTTGGTGGGAACGTAATTTAATGTTTCATTTCAGATGTGTTGGGACCTGAAACCTTGTATGAAGTATGGCTCCATCATGTCATTAAATGTCTGAGCATGCAGAATAGGGAATAATTTAGTGACTTGTCTTCTATAATAAAAAGATCACGACTCAGAAATAAAAATCTATTAAAGAGGCAAACAGTGATGTTAAATTTACACAAGTTGCCCATTGGGTTGTAGATGCAGTTCTGTGTCCAGTTCGGAATGTCCCAATACAGAAAGGACATCAGAACCACGGAAAGGAATATAGTTCACCAGGATAATACCAGGTTGAGGATTATAAATATAAGGATACTTAGATAGAGTGATACTGCGCCAAAACAGGCCATTCAGCCCATCTAGTCCTTGTCAGTGTTTATACTCCACATAAGCCCCCAGCCCTCCCTTCCATTTCACCTCATATATAACCTCTTCAAGATAGGTTTGAAAAGTCATTTGTTTTTAGTGGATCAGGATTGATCAAGATAGGATCTAATACAACTCTTAAAAATTCTTTGAAAAATCCATTAGTTGTAGCTCATTCCCAGTTGCTCTAAGAAAGCAATAAAGGGGACTAGAGGATCTCATGAGGGTATTAGGAAGGGCGTTGTAGGGATTTGACTCAATGACTCAGATTATGTGAAGCAAAATAATATCCAAGGGCGTTTCCTAATTTATTAACTGAGTAGGATTAGCCTTAAATATGTGACTCTCATACCTTGCTTCCCCAGGAGTTTCCCCTGAGATCTCACACATGCTCCGATCCATTTCAGATGGTCCCCTTCCTGTCCCTTCATTCTCGTTCACTGCAGCACCAGCACATTGGTCAAGTGTCATTTTCACTCTCTGTAACAGCATTCAGTTATAACAAACATTACATAATGAATCTTGCATTTGATATTATTTACATAATCTTCCACCAGAACTAGAATTAATTATAATAATCCTTGCTTTTTATATAGCATGTATAACGTCAAAATGTTTGTGGGACATTGTCAGGCCAATTCCGCTGCCGTGTTCGCCCATAAATATTCAGTTATTACACTTGATAGAAAACACTGTGAAGTACTTTGAGATATTTTAATGGGATAAAATGCTGTACCAAATGCAATTATTGTTAGTACTTTTTAATTACAAATATACTGGAGCAACAATACAAAGCAACAATAAATTACATCAAGAGGGCTGTATTTGTGAAAAAAAAGTGTCTTCTTGTAGGAAATATATATTCACTTCAACCCACATTCTTTTGACAATAAAGTTGTGACACTGAAGCGTTACCCTAACCTACAGGCTATTAAGTAAAATGGGAACCAGAATTGAACATTTTCAAAGTCAGTGAAAATGCGAGCAATAAAAAGGCAAAATAGAATATCAAAATAAATTGAGTTGATGAGCCTCTGGTGGTCCTGATGGTAAATGCCTACAGCACCTGGTGTTTCCAGATGGTCTCCCATCTAAGTACTAACCAGCCCTGACCCTGCTTAGCTTCTGAGATTAGATGAATTCAGGCATCACAAAATAATTCAATGAAAGGTAACTCAGAGACAAAGAACTGCGTTTGGAAATGCTGACAATGTAAGTTTGCAGTGGAGAATATACCAGGAATAAGACAATGCCTAAGAGTATTTTCCTTTGACAAGCTCCCATTAACTGGCATCCATTAGGCTGACAAATATACCTTTCCATTGCTTGTGATGTCCAGACGGTGCCAATGTCGATCAGCAACAGTGCCATCAGAGGGCAGCTGGAGGCGGAGTGTTCCTGAGCCGTGATTGATGCCGAGCGTAGGCACTCCATTCCTGAGCTCTGTGTAAAACAATGTAGGAAGTGTTCAATAATTCAGGGTCAGGACGATTGATTTGTGGATAGATTATCCCCTGTCCATTCCTCATGGCAGTACTGCAATGGATTGAGTGGAAGACTGTAAGTTTGGATCCAAGTTTGTGCTGAGTTAGCTGATCTCAGCCGGGGAAGGATTTGTCATGCTTACAATTGGCCTCTGAGTTAGTGGAGAGCACCTCAGCCAGGCTTCCTGCTGCCGATTGCTGGAAGATGCATGAGGGAGGTTGTCGGGTGAAGACAGTGTTAGGCTTGGGTTGTTCTAAGTATATGAAAAGTAATGCACAGATTTTGCCATTCTTAACCCTCAGTGGGTGAAACCCCTCTGGTGACCTGTACAGAGTCATACAATACTAGTTTAGTTAGTTCATGTCAATGGAGCTGCTAAAATTACCATAACCCTTTGGATTAGGAAGGGAATCAGCCAGGGTTGCTCCTCAGTGCTATCCACTGACATCTGTTGGAATTTCACTTTAGCTGGCTGAGATCAGGTTGGGTGGCAGTTCAATAGTCTCCATAACTAAATATCCTAACAAAACTCAGAGTGCAGCTCACAATGACTGACTGAGGTACGTGAGGGCTGTGGACTTGGACCAGTGGATTTGTACCCCAACATGAGTTACCTGGTAAAGAAGAGAAGAGGGCAGGATAGGAATATCAGTGGAAAATTTAAATTAAGACGGTAGTGTTAAAAAATATAGGTTTTCAGAAACCCGATTGTTGTATCTGACACTGAGTTAAAGGTTTATACCTAAAGTAATATAGTCTTCTGTCTCCCCAGCCCTCACATGTGTTACTGGCCCATTGTATAGCAGAAGACCATTGGGAGCTTCAGTGAGGAACTCGAGGGAAATAAGGCTCTCAAAGCAAGGCTTGATTGGAGGGAACCAGGCGTAACCATGGCCTCTAAACGTATGCCTGGTCTGCTGACACTCTGGCCCATCAAACATCGGGCTACATTCACACCTGTCCAAGGGAAGAAGGAAAACGTTAACTGCGTTTAATCACAAACAATAATCAGACAAGCTTCTGGCTGGTGAGTCATGTGGGAGTTTACAAGTTGAAGGAAGTGAAATCTAACGATCTTGAGTTAAAATAATTGACTGAGACAGACAGAAAAGCTAAGCTGAGAATTGCTATTTTTGTTGGCTATGTAAACAATCTTATATTATTGCAAGTTTACAAGCTGACTTTCTCTTTATTTTTATAACTAAATTCGCATAAAAAGCTGGTGTAAACTTAACTCACGTTTCTATCCATTTAGAATGCAAGAGAGCTATCCAATAACTTGCTTTAGCTGTTGGTGCATGTGGATCTGTACCCCAGTAGAAGTCATTGTGGCTAGGAACGGAAGGTAGGAAATTGGGGCACAAATACAGAATTTGTGGGAATAGCCTTACTCCACCATTTCTACCATATTTTGAAATTTGGAGTGCTTGTTCTACTGGGATTGGAAAGGCTGAGACTCTGCAGAGCATCTGAAATTTAATTCTCATGCAATGTTTGTTTCACCAGATAGCAGGATGGTCAGCTCTTGATTGCATGCAACACTCAGAAATTTAAAGGTTATCAAAAGTTGCAAGCTTACATCTTGTAACTTTTAATAACCTTTAAATTAATGAGTTTAATTTAGAAGCTTTTTATCCAATTTATCACAATCAGTAAACTAGAGCAAAGTCCAACATTTCAGGGTTTAAATACAAGGTTTAAATAATGAAGTCCAATCATTTTAGTCACTTATGTCTCCTTACAGCTCAATGGGTCAAGGAGAAACAATCCTTCACAGGATGACAAGCAGCTTTTTATGTGAATTTAGTTCATTTTTAAAAAATATAATAACAATCCTTTCATGTCAGGAGGAAGTTTCAAAGCCGTTCATGGGATGCACTGTAAAGTGGAGTAACTGTGTGTGTTCTGGGCGAAAGCGGCAGCTAAACTTGGGTAAGCAATGTCGCATGACCAGCCATGAAGTGAATGGCCAATTTTATTTTGGGGATTGTTGGGCAGGAGACCGGGCAAAACTCTTCTTTTTTCGAAGAGTGCCATGGGATCTTTAATGTCTATCTGAACAGGCAGATGGGACCTTAGTTTAACATGTCATCTAGATTGCTCTAGTGGGAGCTGATACCAAATGGAATGTGATTGTAATATATGACTTGTTGCTGAATTACCTGAAGCCCAAATCAGTTGTGATACAAGTCCCACCGTTCAGACAAGGGTTACGCGGATAGGAGGAACAAGACAAGTGCTGTTCTTCTCGGGCTTTGCAGATGCACTGAGCAGTGGTGGCTGTTGTCACAGAAACAAATGACACATTCCCAGCACTGAGCACTGTTGGGGTGGGGTTGAAAGCAGTGAGGCTTGTGCAGCCAGTTGTTGCCCCGCAGTCTATGTTGGCACATTGATCCACAGCGATCTGAGATATCCTTACATCCAAGGCAGATTCCAGCTAGGAAGAAATAAAATCATACATGCCATTAAACGTCTGCTTTCTGAACACGGTTTAAATTTAAAGAGTGGGAGGTAAATTTAAATAGTCAACCTTCCAAATTTTGACGTAAGTTGATAAACATCGCTTTTTTGAAGGAATTGACAAAAAATATTTAAAACAAATCGTTAGTCTTAGAAATGACGTGTGGTGGGGTGAGAAAGTAGGAAGAGGAGTCTACAAATGCTGACTTCTTGCGAGGTAGTGGAGAAGGCCCGAGTCTGATTTATTAATAAGAATATTAACAATCCTTGCAATTGTATAGGACCTTTTATGTCAGAAGAACATGTTAAAGTGCTTCACAGGATATACTGTGTAGTGAAGTGACTGTGTATTGGAGGCAAATCCAGCAGCCCATCTAGTGCATTGTTGGCTAACATCCATGGAGAAACTCACTTCTCTTTTTGAATAATACTATAGGGTCTTTAATATCCACCCGAAGAGGCAGATAGCACCTCATTTTAATGAGACTTCTGAAGGATGGCACCTCCAAAAAGCAACATACTCCCAGCTTAGATTAGAGTGTAGAGTGAATTCACATACTGCCCAAAATATACTGACCAATGTTTAATGTCACACGGAGATGTCCTGCACAAAATGTTTCTAATTAGCAAATTAACATCTAAAAAAAATCCCAGAGTTAATCAGTCCATTGAGAACTGGACTTGGGGATGGAAGGATCTGGGTTTTATTTCTTCACTCATTACAAGTGGTTGAAAGGAGCATTAATATATCAAATGAAGATCTCCTTTGGGACTTAAAATGGCTTACAAGTGACAAGCCAAACAGGTCTACAGCAATTTAGGGCCAATACGCCTGAGATCTTGCAAGCTAAAGTCCTACAGGGATGGTAGGGTGGTTCTGGTAGGACAAGTGCTATGATGTGTGGTTTAATTTATTGTGTAACATAGAATAAAAGATGACTGAAAGATACCAACTGGGGGGCCTGAATTTTTTAAGTTGTAGCATTTAAGAGCATGTGATAGAATTCTGTAGGATACTCTTCCCCTTTAATATAATTAATATTGGCAAAGCTCGTCAGTGGAGACCTTCACATCTTCTTGTCTAAGGGATACAAACCTCTGCTCTGGAAGCCTCCATATTGCCATTCATTTTCTCAGCCTTGTAGAATGGAGGTTCTTCTGCTGCAAACCAGATGTCCACCTCTCTCGTACGATCTTTGACATTCACAATGCTGAAAATGTGCACATCTTCAAGCTGTGCTGGAATTATTTCAGCTAAGAACATCCTGAGCCTGTTGTACCTGCTCTCTCCACCAGCAGACTGGGAGATGAACTCTTCAGCTGTGATATCTGTTTTGAAAAGTATGCAGCTTTTACTCTGAGGATGTACCATTGGTTTTCTTAGAATAAAAGAATAATAATCCTTTCATTTGATATAGCGCCTTATCACATCATTCAAACATCTCAAAGCGCTTCACAGAATATATTGTAAAGTGGATTGACTGTGTATGTTGTGGGCAAAATGCAACAACCAATTGTGCACAGCATTGTACCACAAACAGTCATGGATTGAGTGACCAAACTATTATTTATTTATTTTGCAGGGATTATTATCCCTGGAAAGCGATACACCAATTGATGAACAATTGGGTTCCTACTTATTGTTAGGGAAAACAGAGATGTGTGGAGTAAAGAAACTTGCCTAAGGTTTCTCCCTGCTCAGGAATTGAACCCAGGTCCTCTCGCTTGTGAGGCAAGTGTGCTAACCACTATACTACAGGGCTCCACCATCTTTATTTTCCTTTGGTCATCCTATATGCTTAACAGTGTATAGAAATATGTATTAATGTCTGAATGAGATCTCTATTGAAAGGACAGAATTTGACACTCACCACTCAGCCTGAGAGAGCCAGCGTTATATATGGCAGCCTCCTTCAATTCTTTGACAATAACCTGCACTGTGGAGACCACATCTGGCCAGGTACCATCCCTCACCTTCACCTGGAAGTTGTATGATCCACATGGTGTACCCTCAGTCATGCTCAGCAACCCTGATTTTGCATTGAGAGTAAAATGCCTAGAACAAATGCATGCAATGGGTAAATTAGGAGCATAGAAACAGGAGCAGGCCATTCAGCCCCTTGAGCCTGTTCCACCATTCTATGAGATCACGGCTGATTTGTACCTCAAGTCCATTTATCCGCATATCCCTTGATACCCTTTTCTAACAAAAATCTATCCACCTCAGTCTTGAAAATTCTACTTGACCCAACATTCACAGCCTTTTGGGGAAGAAAATTCCAGATTTCCACAACCCTTTGCATGAAAAAATGCCTCCTGGTTTCATTCCTAATTGGCCCAGCTCTAATTTTAGGATTATGCCCCTTTACTCTGGATTCTCCCACGAGAGGAAATAGTTTCTCTGTAATGAAATGAATTAATGAAACAAAAGCAGTCAGTACCACATATCCCTCGCACCTTCCCCCCACTGAACTCCTTTTGTTGGGTCTAAAAGATGTCATTCGCAAACCAGAAGTCACTGAGCTAATTTATGACATCCAACTTTGCGTTTGCAGTGAAGCTTTAATTTCAGCTGTTTCGAGGCTGAGCAAAGTTCCCAAAAGTCTGACAAATGGTCAAAAACACGGGGCACAAAATGGCCTTTTGTTACCATATTCCACAATTTGAGGCACAAACTATATATAGTATAGTACAATCTTTTACTGCTTCAGATTTTGCTGACAGCAGCCTTTTAGATTTCTAAGCTGTAAGGGGAACATGATGCTTCCCCCATTTCTGGCAGGTTTCCTGCAGTAAGCAGAAGTAGAGCACTTGTCACTGTAAGAGGAGGAGAACATCAAGAGCCACTGTAGAATGCTCTCACATCATTACTGATGCTGGACAGAATACCATTGGCCTTGAGTGGATCATCTGTCAACCCTCTAACCCAGAGAGGATTGGTATGTCATTGAGGAATCCAAAGTGAGGAATTGAAATGATTCAGATGGTTAAACCGCTGCTTAGAGTGAAACTAAACGTAAAATTAGGTTTGTTCCAGGTTCAATCTCTTGTCCTTTACAGATCTTAGTCAGGCCAACAATACAATTGGCCTCAGTAATCTGGATTACAAATTAGGTTAAGAAATCAGGCAAGGATCCTCCTACTGATTGCTAGTCACTAACTGATGCTGGGAAGTGGATGTGTATATTGTGTGGGCACTAAGGTCAGTACAGGATTAGGCTCCAATGCGATGCCATTTTGATCTCCCAATGTTTACTAACTACACTCACAGATGAAGAATGCCCACTCAGGTTAACAACTGGAGGAGGAAACATACTGTGCTTGAGTGGATATCCTTGAGAGTGGAAGGGAAAAAAAATAGAAGGACAATTCCCCATCAAAGCAAATAGAAAGAAATTAGTGAAATAGAAAATACATTTACCAACAAATATATATTTCCATATTTAGTCATCTTCTTGGTAGTTGATAGCACATCTAGAGACAAAAGATACATTTTTCCTTATACAGTATGTGCATGTTTTCAAGGCTGTATGCAGTGTAGATGTTGCTTACCTGGGTGATATTCCTTCAAATCTGTATGTTTTGTCATCCCAGTCGTCTAGATCAGGGGCTTGTACCTTCCCCAAATCAGTGGTAGCCAGTTGACCTAATACAAGAAAACAAAGCACTTATAATAATATATAATAATAATCCTTGCATTTGCTATAGCGCTTTATCAAATCATCAAGACATCTCAAAGCACTTCACAGGATATAAAGTGGTGTCACTGTACATTTTGCCAGCAGACTCTTGTGTTCTGACATTGCAGGACACAGACAGTTTATTAAAAATTATGCATAAAACGCAGGCAATTCCACATTCCAGAAGATGAGTTTGAAGATTTACTGGCCACATTTCAAATCCCAGAACTTCGAACTGCTACCAATATAAATCATCACCCATTAACCTAACCAGAGGGATTTAATCATTCTTCGCTCTTTAAATTTTTTTATTATTTGATCCCATAGTCTGTTAAATACCTTGTTCTCTCCTTGCTCAGAAGAGAAATGGATGAATGAGTGGAAAATAGAAAATGAGGTCTAATTCATAATATTTCTTAATTAAAAGTTCTGGATATCTGGGACATCGACTTGCTCAAATTCAATGGAGGGGGTTCCCTTGAGTTGCTCTGAAATAGGTCTGCTGATCGGGAGGAGACCTCACTTGGATTCCTTAATTAAGAAATCCATTATGAAATATCACAAACTGGGACCCAATATTGTACAGGTGCAATAAGGGTGTTATTCTCAGATTTATTCTTATTAATAAGAAAACAATAATGAAATCTTCACATTTGATATAGTGCCTTTCAAGCCGGGACAATGTCCCAAAGCACTTCGCAGGAATTACTGTAAATTGTACTGACTGTGTACTTTTTAGGCAAATGCAGCAGTCAATTGCACACAGCAATGTCTTACAAATAGCCATGAAGAGAATTATCCTTCAATTATATCTGGGAACTGTTGGCCAGGGCACCGGGAGAAACTCCCTTCTCTTTTTGAATACTATCCTGAGGTTTTTAATATCCACCTGAACAGGAAGATGAGACCTCAGTTTAATATCTCATATGAAGAACACATTGTTTATTTTGGTTGTAGTTGTTGATAGGACTACACTATGCTTTAAAAATGTTACTGTTTACTACCCTTACATGTTTTAGGAGCCTCAGAGTGCGTGCTGCACTGTTACATTTCTGCTGCTCTGTGATAGAGATGCTTACCATTGTAGTTGTAGACGAGGAATTCCGTGTGACCTGCTGAGTGGGGATGGTCGTTGCGGTCTCCAATGGTGATGGTCAATGTGTTTGTGGAAGTCATGGGAGGCGTTCCGCTGTCGGTCATTACCACCGGCAGGTAAAACGCCTTCTGGTCCTCCCTGTCAAACGTGCGGAGCGCGGTGAGAGCGGCGCTGCCATTGCCAAAATCTGTCAAGGCAAAATCCGTGGAATTCCCATGTGCACTGAGTAAGGTGAACGAGAAGGGTGCTCCATTGACTGGACTGTCTTTGTCTTTAGCATACATCAGCACTGAGGTCTGATTTAACTGCGTAAGCTGTGGGGCAGCTGTGTTCTCCCACACAATAGGCTTATATGGAGCCTCAAATTCTGGCCCATTGTCATTGACATCGTGAACAGTGAGGAGAACAGCCACGCTCCCGGTCAGGGCCGGACTTCCAAAGTCAATGGCCAGAATGACTAACTGGTGCTGCGGAGTCAACTCGCGGTCCAGGGCGCTGGCTACGCTAATCCAACCGTTGGCATCCACAGAGAACTGTCCAAGAGGATCTGAAATCTCCGCAATACTGTAGGTGAATTCCCCATTCTGGGAAGAGTCCAGATCGACCGCGGTGACCTGGACGACTCTGGTCCCGATAAAGACATCTTCAGGCAACGGAGCAGCTTCGTAATACTGCGGTTGGAAGAGTGGAGCATGATCATTGTAATCCTCCACCTCAATAACACAAGAAGCCTTGCTGGAAAAGTCCATGTCTTCCACTTTCAGAGTTAAATTGAATCTCCTGTCCTGTGGCTTCTCGTAATCTAGCTGCTTCTTCAGTTTGATGGTGGCACTCATATCAGCCTTGTTCGTTTCGATGAAGAATTTCCGATCTTTGTCTCCGCCCACGATGCTGAAGGTCAAAAGAGCATTTTCCCCCTTGTCCTCATCACTGGCGGACACCATGAGAACGTTGCTGTTTGGTTCCATGTTCTCACTGATCTTGGCCATGAAGACGTGTTGCGTGAAAACTGGAGTGTGATCGTTCACATCTGAAACCAAAATAGTGGCTGTCCCGGTCCCAGTCAGGCCACCTCCGTCCTGAGCTTCCACTACCACCAGGTACCTATCTTCCTTCTCTCTGTCCAGAGATCCCAGCACAGTGTATACCGTCCCAGAGGATGGATTGATGGAGAACAGGTTGAGGTTGATTTCGTTCTGAATATTCTGGATTATCCTGTATGTCAATATCGCGTTCTTCCCAGTCTTGGTGTCATCCAGATCCGTTGCGGTCATCTCCATGATGGATGTGTCGGCTGGGGAATTTTCTGGGACGTGTCCCACAAAGCAGCCGTCGGAGGCACACAGGAACAAGGGCAGGTTGTCATTCACGTCACGCACCTCGACAATCACGTCAGCGAACCCCGTGAGGCCCTCCCCGTTATCATCGGTGGCCAGGACCAGGAAGCGCCAAACCGATCGGTGCTCACGGTCCAATTTCTGCTGGGCGTAGATTTTACCAGTCACCTCATCGATGGTAAACTCACTGTTTGCCCCCTGTCCATGGAGAGAGTAACGCAGGGCACTCTGGTCTGCTTCCTGGTCAGGGTCAATGGCTGATACCTAAAAACGTAGAGGAAAAATGTAAGGAGTATTTTGAAGAAAACTCACACGGTTACAAGAGAGTTTTTGATGAAGTGGTATGTTGTGTGTCTGTGTATGTAAGTGAAAGAGAGAGAGATAAAAACCTTTGTGCTCAATCTTACTTGCTTACCACTAGCGAGCAGTAAAAGTAATGATGGGCAGTAATCAAGTCTCTTTTGGTGAAGTCCCACAGTTACTATCGCACATATTAAAGATTTATATTAAAGAATATTAAAGCAGTCCACTCATAACCAAGGGACTTGAGTATAAGATAGTGACGAGGGAATTTACAAGAGAATACAGGAGAAACTACATCACACAGAGGGTAAAGAGAATACAAAAAGTACAATACAAAATTACATTTGTAAAGCGCCTTTCATGTCGGGAGGATGTCCCAAGGCACTGAACAGTCAGGGTTTAGGACCCGAGTGGGAAAGGGTTGGGATCAGAGAGGGTGGAGGGCAGACAGGGTAGGATGGCGGCCAAAGGCACGGTCGAAGAGGAGCATGTTGAGGTGTGCCTTCAAGGAGACAAGGGAGGGAGCAAGGTGAAGGGAATATGGGATGGAGTTCCACAGGTTGGGGGCAGAGAGAATGAAGGTCCGACCACCGATGGTGGGGCAGGCCGGGCGGGGGACATACAGCAGTCCGGAGCCTGCTGAGCAGAGGGAGCGGACTGGTTGATAAGGGGTTAGAGGGTCGGAGAGGTAGGAAGGGGCAAGGCCGTGTAGGGCCTGGAAGGTGAGGACAAGGATTCTGAACTCGATCTTCTGAGGGATGGGGAGCCACTGGAGCCGGGCCAGGGTGGGTGTGATGGGGTCACGGAGCCTGGTGTTGGAGTGGACACGAGCTGCAGAGTTCTGGATGATCTGCAGCTTGTGGAGGGAAGAGTTGGGCTGACAAGCAGGAAGTCGAATCTGGATGTAGTGAAGAATGTGATACTCGCTGCCCAAAGTGGTGGAAGAACCAGATAGTATAAATCAATTTAAGAGGAAGCTAGATAAACACAAAGGAGAAGGGTATGGGAGGGTGTAAGGAGTGGGTGGAGACTCATGGGTAGTGTGAGCCCCCAGGCAGATGGGCTGAATGGTCTGTTTCTGTGCAGTATCGTCTGTGTAAACTATGTGTGTGTGTGTGAGTACCTGCAGGACAAGCACAGGTAGGTCCAGCAGCTCCTCCACTACGTTGGCGTGATATTCATTCCGACTGAAGATTGGAGCCTCGTCATTCTTGTTGAGAACGTTGACGATCACCATCGTCTGGTTCTCCCACTTCCCATCTGATGCCACCAACCGCAGCTCGTAACGCTGCTCTTCTTCATAGTTCAGTCGCTGAGCTATGAAGATGGTCCCAATTTCTGGCTCCACATCAAACATACCTTTGACATTGCCTGAGGTAATCTGGTATCTCAGTTTGGCATTTGCCCCTGCAATAAGGTGAACACAACAACATGCAATCTATCCTTCAAATGTGTTGACATAATGGCATTATCTGTCTCAGATTTTTCCTATTTCTTTAACGTGTCTCAGTTTTCATCATATTACTATCTCTGTGGTAGGATACAATCTCTGCACAAAAGGTGGTTGGAATATTGAATTCTCTGCCACAAACCATAGTTGAAAGCGAACCCAAGCAGAGTTTTCTAAAAGGCAACCAGATAACTGCTTGGAAGACGCCAATATTAAAGGGTATTGGCATGGGATTAGATTAGGCGGCTCATATAGAGAAAAAACACCAGACCAGACATAGATGGGCCAAATGAGAGGACTGTTTCTGGGCAGCAGCATTTAGTGATTCCATACAATTTATTCATTAAATATTTAAATTAATGGCAAATTTGCAAGAGAGCAACATCTTGAAACAACTTAACATAAACTATGAAACTAACGTTAACTTTGCACCTCAACATTAGGTCACTGAATGGCCATTAGATACTGCTTAATGCTTATGTTATGATCCTGTCTGCTATAAACAAGGGCAGACAACCTCCTGATATTCCGACCGAGGAAGTGTTTCTGCATAGCAGCTAAATTGCATTGCTGCAGCTTCACCACATGGGGGAGCCAAAAGTCTCCAATAAGTCCTCACAGCTTGTTGGAAGGAATCAAAGATCTGCTCACTGAGCTGTGAAGTAACTTGTGAACGAGTTATACATTCTGTTAATCGTACCTTCATCTTCATCGTTTGCTGGAGCTGTTATGACAACAAACCCAACATCTTTGTCCTCCTCTACACTTATCTCGTAGACATCCTGTGGGAAGATTGGTGCATTATCATTCACATCACTGATGAAAATCCTCACGTAAGCCGTATCTGTGAACAGAAAGGGAGATTGTATATTCAGTGTTAAAGGCTGAGTACAAGTGACCCTTTACCCTCGATATAATCTAATAATTGGGATGTTTCTAATTGAAGGCCGAATGAGTCTCTCAAACCAAAGACTGAGATGCCAGTGTAAAACATTGACAATGTTGGCTTCTAATGAGATTTTCTCTTTATATACACACACATCAAGGCCTCTGCACAGAACACCAGCTGGGAGTTCAGCCCTGGTCTTTATGTCAGCACTTGTTCACGTGTAAACATCCGTCTTTGTTTTGTCTGATGTGTTCTTGCAGTATTACCTCCAGATCATACTGTATAAACTAGTGGGAGGTATTCCATCCCAGGATGTGCAATAGGGAAGAGGACTCACTCTTTTCCTTTCCGTTCCCCTTTTTATCTTTCACGCTCACTCTCTCTCTCTCCCTCACACATTTTCTTTCTATGCTCGTTGGGGAGCAGGTAAATGGGGTCTCCGTGGAGCTGAGTTAGCTCCAAAGTGAAGTTTTTGGCAATAGACTGTGGGAATCAAATCAATCCTCTGCATTCTAGGTAGTACAGTTCCTTAGCCAGGCAGGTACTCCAGAGCACTGCTGATGATAGCCCAGCCAGCCTGGCTTGAGGGCAGGACATGGAAGGATCAGACTAGTCACTGGAGTGGAGATCCTTCTCATTCCTCTCCTGTTAAACCTACAAGACTGAAAAATAAACCACTTTTGATGGAAATAGTTTTATACAGAATTCTTACAAAGATTGTACAGAACCAAAACTGGTAATTCAATCCAACTAGTCCATGACAGTGTTTATAGCCCCCAACTATCCTAATACCTTTATACTCCTCTATTCCCTTCAGCCTCAGAGAGGTATTGAGTTTCCTCTTAATAACTTGCATTCGTATAATGCCCTTCACACTGATTAACACTTAAAATAAGTTGATGCTTTCTGTTTCAACCACAGCTACAAGTAGTGAGTTCCATCTGGGTTTGGATTTAGCATTTTAGAGCGTTCAGTATTTGCAAATTGTTGAATTCAGACTTAACTTTGAAGTTGTTTTTTTATAGTTCTTCAAAGAACTTAGAATGGCATAGAACCATTAAAGCAAGAAAATAGGTCATTTGGCCCAACAAACCCTCACCAGTGTTTGTACTCTACATGAACTCCACCACTATTAATCCACTCTCCCCTTCCCATCTATTCTCTTCTCCCTCATGTATGCAGTCTCACCATCCTTTGTGTAAAGAAATTAATGACACATTTTATGGCTGTTAGATCCTGTGCTAGCTTGAATACAGCAAAGAAATAAACCAAACTAAAAAGATATGGGAGAAAGAAAATAGGAAGCTGCGATAAAAAAAATTAAAAGAAAATAAATACATAGGTTAACCCTTGAGGGTCCCACACAAAATGCTAACTTATCTTTCTCTTTCTGTTGACATATTTAAGAGGAAAATTCAATTGTACACGAGGGAGAAGAGAATAATAGGATGTGGGAGAGGGGTTTGGTGTGATGGAGGCTCATGTGGAATATAAAGACTGGCATGGATTAGTTGGACTGAATTGGTCTGTTTCCATCCTGTAACAGTCTATGTCATTCTATGTAATCAACCCTCCATGCACAGTCAAACCTGTTAAAGCAACCAACTCCATTCAGCAAGCACCTGCTCTTAACAACCACCCTGGAACAGTCCTGACTAATTTTCCATATTAAACCACCTCTATTAAGAAACCATCTGTCCAGCACAACCCGTAGCCACTTAATTAGCCGTGTACCCAGTGTACAGACCCTATTCAGTGGCCAGTTCTAAGTGAATTTAAGTATACATTGGCAATGTATTAGCAATTTCTGCAGACCTGGGTGTAGACTCCTGATAAGACTCCTAGCGCATTTTCCAATGCTACGCTGAGCAGCCCCTCACTGTCCATTTGGTAAAGATAGGAAGGCAAGTGTAGTGATCAGGACTAGAAGCGCTCAGGGTAATCAAACTCACTTCTATATGAAACTCGTTGAACGCAACTGCCATTGTACTCTCCAAAAGCTTGGCATGATTATATTGGCCGTATGTGAACTGTATTGTTTAGTTTATGGGTTTGTACATGTACAATATTGTTCTATACAATTAAACGCTTAAAATTCTACACACACCACCGAATCCTTACTCAGAGGTCACCCTTATATAAAGGCCATTTTGGTCCAGTCCTTTGTGTGGTTCCTGAAAGCAGATTTGACTGTATTTCCACCATTTCCAGGTTGGATTTCAGATTTTCAGTAGTCATGCTTGTTTCGTTTTATTTTTTGCTAGATTCACAATTCTGTTTTGCAATTTTCTTTTTCAAGCATCATAAAAAATAACCTGGTTAAATAGCCTTCAAAACAATCTAGGCAATCATCTGCGGGTGAAAACATTCCCTCATATTCTGAGAATGAAATTGCTGCTCTGAGGCCTTCACCTGTGTTGGGTTGTCCGTGCATGCCTGGCCGAGCAGACTCTGAGTTGTCTTGAGACTGAACTTCTATCAGGTATGACCCCTTCACCTCTCTGTCGAAGGACGTCTGCGTGAATATCAGTCCGGTCTCAAAATCAATGCTGAAGTAGTGGTAATCTCCACTGAGGTCCTTCAGTATGGCATAGTTCACCTACGGTGAGAAAACAAGCGGGATTATTCACTCAGAGATTTGCTGGGATGTAGAATGTCCTGCCAAGCGAGGTGGTAGAGGCAGACTCCATTGTGGGGTTCAAGAAGGACATAGATAGCTATTTAGCACTGAGAAGCTTGAAGGGTTTGGGGAAGACTACATTTCCTATGGTCTTCTGGGTCAGGGAGATGAACACCAGCCAGGGATCCTGCTCCTCACATGTCTACTGGTTGTACACATATGAGGCAGCTGGGTCGGTGGGGAAGAGGTCAAACTCTGCTATGACACCCTCTGTAGTCGAGTAACATGATAACACTCACTGCCAATGTTCACATATACAAAAAGTGGCTTACCGGAGGACAACCTGTGCCCGTGGAACTGCACCCAGAAAGAGGAGGTGAGGGCAGAGAGGCATGTGCCATTGAGGAGAAAATTAGAATAGAAACATCGGACACACTAAAAATCTTTTAAAAATATACAATTTAAAAGCCTTAGTAGCAGTAGTAGAGCAGAGTAGGATTTTTTTTCTATGTGGAGACTTATTATTGTAACAAATATTCAACAGGACATAATGGTTCCTGTGCCCCTGGAACCAGAGAAACAGTGCTAAGGAAGGGGCTTAGGTTTCAACAATGTTAGACAGTCGGCCGGGTGCCTGGTTTGCTTGGTTACCCGCAGATCGCTCACCTTTCCATGTAGTCCTGTATCAAGGTCGGTAGCTGATACCTGCACTACAGAGGTACCAACTGCAGCCCCTTCAGGGACCGTAGCCTCGTATGTGGAGGATGTAAAGAATGGAACGTTGTCATTCACATCTGCCAAATGAGAGGTGAGCACAAAGAAACATTTAGTCATCACGCAGTCATTACACCTCTACCCTGACTGTGCCAAGAGCCAGAGTCGTCAACACTTTTTACTCTTTTGTGTGTTTGTTTATGTGTGTGTGTGTGTGTATGCATGTGTTTTTATGTATTCATGTGTATCTGTGTGTGTCTGTATTTATATGTGTGTGTGTAGAGTGTTTGTGTATGTGTGTGCATACACAGGGCGAGAACATAATCAGTCACTTTTGAGGCAGATACCATGTTCCAATAGCTTTCCCTCCATTGCGCCTGGTGGGGAATGTTGAAGTTCACAGCAATAGCCAAAGACACACATGGACACACTTGGTAAACAGTGCTGGAGCAGACAGACTGAAAACTGTACCTGTCACATTGATGTAGATAGTGCTGAACGAGGCTAATGGAACCGCTGCCACATTCTGAGCCCGGACTCTCAGTGTGAAAAACTTTGTGCCCTCAAAATCCAGCGGTTCTGCCACTAGAATAGAGGCGGATCCATTGGCACGGTTTGGTTTCAGGTAGAACCGGACAGGCATATTGGTCTCGGGAACCTGACCCTCTTCAAGGTTGTACGTAACCCGTGGGTCCCCCAGAGGAGATGTAGCTTTGATGGTCTGAAATAGCCAGAGGAAAGTACATTATTAGTATTAGGTGCACTGTACTCTGAGGCGCAGAGCTCGTGGGTCAGCAGGAGAAAATCAGAGCGGGTTCACACTCCATTGCCATCCTGGATGTGTGTGTCAAATGAGGACAGAATTGAGCTTAGTCCCACAGTTGAATAGTTATCTGAAACTCAAAGTTCACACATAGCAAAGGCGCACTTTCAGATGAGATGTTAAACCAAGGCCCTGTCTTTCTGTTCGCAGGTGGACAATGAGACTCAGAAAGAGATGGGAGTTTCTATCAATGTGCTGGCCAGCAACCCTCCAGATACATTTGCCATTAATCATTAATTCCATTAATCCCATGGTTTGTGGAATGTTGTTATGTGCTAAATAACTCGGTTTGGTGACATTTTCCTATAGAGAGTTAACACCAAGGTGTGCAGTGCCATCAGATGTTTTAACATGACAAGGTGGAGTAACTTATTTGCCACATAAGCTTACAGAGCACTTGTGGTTTTATATGTGTAGTTTTTGAATGAATCCAAGCAGTCACAATCTACTTTTCACTCACAAAGAGATAGATTATGGAAAATTGGAACAGTTTGACACCAGTTCCAGACCTCATTTCAGCATCTTTTCCATTTGGCAATTTGTCATTGTTGCAGTAATTGTTGGATTTTTTTCTCCATCCTCCAATATTCTCCCCGACCCTTCCTACCCTGACAGCATTGAATTATCCTGCAGTCCGTTCCCACGGGCAGCAATGGCTATCTGGTAACCTGCCAAAGTAGCTGTTCTTCATGTATAAGATGTGGCTACAAACAAGTGTTAATAGGGTTTTGGACCATGAGGGGATTGAGATGAGTGGCTAGGTGCTCATTACTCTTGGCCAATGTTATCTTCACTTCAATGCTATCCTACCTCTGCAGTTTTCTTCAGCACTGTTCTCCTGCCATACCCTCTGCTCATTTGACTCCTGTTTATTGCTCGCCCTATGCTCATTCATGACAAGGATCTTGCTCTCTGGAACTCTATTCCAAAAATCACTTTGCCTTGTTACCTCTCTTTTTCCTTTCAAAAACCTCCTAATACACAGTCAATTCGCTTTTCAACATATTCTGTGAATCATTTTGAGACTTCTCAATGACATGGTAAGGCCCTATATCAAATACAAGTATTATTATTTATTGCGTTTAAGTCTCCCTTTTCACTACTTTTTACCAAGTCTTTAAGAAATTTCCTTATGTGAAACATTCTATATAAATGGAATAAACAGCTCCTTTGTTCTGAGGTAGAATTCAGTAGTCAACCTCTTCACAGGCCATGGAACTTTATTTATTCGATCATGATGAAATTACTCCTAGACCCCACCCCCCCCAACTCCGTTCCACTTTGAATGCTAGTCACCGGGAACTCAAATTGGCTGCTGTGTTTTGCCTCCAAATACACAGTGACTACACTTTACACAAGACGCTGAATTGCTTTGAAATATTTTAACCTGCATCAAATGATGGAATTTTGGGTTCATGGCTGGACCTGTGATGGTGTCTGGAGATGTTGAGCCCCAAAATTTCACCCAGTAGGAGTCTAAAAAGACCATTTTCACTAAAAATATAACACTGCGCAGAAATGGACTGTGGAAATCTTTTTAATTCAGTCTTAATTTGGAGCCAGTTTTCCACAGATCTTAAAAAGAACCGTCTTCCAAATTACGGCTGCATTAAAGAATTTTTCTGCAATTCTGCGCAATCTTAAATCTTAAGATAAATGTTCTAACAGACTAAGATTTGTGTAATTTCAGGCCCCAGAAACAGGATGTGCTTTAATTATGTTTGCAATGAAAATGAATAGTCACTGCAAAAATATGAACATTTCAGAAAGGTTGTCAATGTATTAAAGAAAAAGGGTTAATTTCATCCTGATTTAATAAATAATAAATGATCGAGTCTTTCTACATTTCCTCTTGTGCCTTGACTTTTGGGAGTTTTGAGCTATTCTCTGGCCTTTACATATGCCAAGAATGATTCATTTAAAATACAGCCATATTACTGTCTAATTAGATTCATGAAGCACTCTAAGTACCTCATTAGTTTAACAAGGAATATTTTCGATGTTTAGAAACTAATTTCTATGCAGATTAATGAGTTCATTCTGCAATCACATATAATTAGCAGATCATTAAGACAATCATTTTAATTTTAAAATGCTGTTCAAATCGCTAATTTAGTAAGATACACTTTGTACAGGTGAATCCTCCCGAGGTGTAATTATGAAGAGGAATAACATAATTGCTTCGGAATTCTTGTAACATGTCTTGTTACAAGAATTCTATTGTCCGAGAATAAAAGAAAGTGAGGTAACAGTACTCAACCTTTTAAACAACTATGGAACAATTTTACAGGATGTCTTATGGCTCCTCATGAAATTAGTCTTTATGACCATTGTACCGTAAAATTTAAATTCTTAATTCTTAATTTCAATCTTATTTGGAAGCCTGTTTTCTGTAGTTGATATTAATATTAAAATTAATAATAATACATAAATAATAATAATCCTTGCATTTGATATAGAGCCTTATCACGTCGTTGAGACGTCTCAAAGAGCTTCACAGGATGCTGTCAAGTGAATTCACTGTATATTTTGTGGGTGAAACAAAATAATCCTTGCATATGATACAGCATCTTTTACGTCAGATGGACTTCACAATGCATTTCACAGGACTTACTGTGAATTGTAGTGACTGTGCATTTTGTAGGCATACACAGCAGTCAATTTGCGCACAGCAATGTCCCACAACCAGCCATGTGACAGATTCCCAATTGAGAATTAAGCATTTCCCACAATTCTGCACAATCTTAAATATTATGTCAAAATAGTCTTTGTAATAGTTTCTGCAAGCTGAGACTAGGTGGAATTTCAGGACTCGGAAACATGTTACGAATATCTTGCCAACTCAAGGAACCCAGTTAAAAAACACAGCAGAATTATTCCCCAAATGCTTCACTACACTGCACTACAGAGGGTAGGATCAATGCTGAATCTCTATTCTTGGACACGGGAATTCCCATTTTCGGACAGGCTACCAGGAGTCAGGAAACTAGCTGTTATTATCTAATTTCTAATGAGGATACTTGGAACATCCCTTTAGACCTTGGTTCATTTTTAATGGGTTTAATGGGAGAAGATGCCCTGAACTCCATTGACATCCATCATGCACACATCCAGCAGGAGATCTGCATAAACAGCCCCAAAAATGAGTCTAACAATAAAAGTTGGGAAGAGGAAAATGCATTAACGCTGGTAATATTTTAGGTTGGGATCTCACTTGGGATCTTAAAAAGCTATATTCCAGGAATTAAGACAGGATATAAACTTGCACTTTTCTTTCTGTTTTCTATCTTTCCTTCAGGGAATGTGACGTTTTAAATGCATGTAGTTTAATGATTAGAGTTCGAGTGTCTTCTCCTCTAGTGTTTTACAGCTGCAGGGTAGTGTTTAACTTCTGACATCAAATGCAACTACTGTATTCCCTACTGTGTTATAACATCATTCCATTGTCGTGTTTGCTTTATACTAAAAAATGGTAATTAAAAAAAGCAGGAATGCACATAGATTGTGCTTTGGGGCCCAAAATGTATAATGTTCTAAACGCAGCTAAATGCAAAACTCTATTCTTCTCCACCGCATCTCCTCTCACTTCCATCTCAATGGTTCTGTTCTTGCCTGGTTCCAATCCTACCTTTCCCATCATCTGCACCTTGTGGCTACCAATGGCTTCTCCTTTAGCCCCCACACTGGCATCCCTCAGGGCTCTGTCCTCGGTTCTGTCCTGGGTCCCTCGGTCAATCTATACTTGCTCCCGCTCGGCGATATCATCCACAGGCATGGGGTCAATTTCCACATGTATGAGGATGACACCCAACTCTATCTCGCCACTTCCAGCCTCACCTCCAGGACCGTTGATGTCCTGGTTAATTGTCTGTCAAGTGCTGAATGAGAGCCAACTTGCTCCAGCTCAATGTTGCCAAGACAGAGGCCCTCCTGCTTGGCTCCCGGAAGCGCCTTCTCACCTCAGCTGCTGACACTCTCACCATTCATAGCTGCACTCTTCACTTCACCAAGCCAATCCGAATCCTCGGTGTCCTTTTCGACCCTCAGCTGTCCTTCAAACCCTATGTCTACGGCAGCCAATTGCGCACAGCAGTGTCCCACAAACAGTTGTGGATTGAAATGACCAATTTATTATTTTTCTTCTTGAGGGATTATTGTTAGGCATGTGGAGTAAGGAAACTTGTCCAAAGTTTCGCCCTGCTGGGAATCGAACCCAGGTCTCTCGCTTGTGAGGCAAGTGCTCTAACCACTGAGCTACAGGACTCTACAGGATAAGGCGCTATACCAAATGCAAGTATTATTATTATTTTAAACACACCATATTGCTCTGAAACATTATTCTACGTGAAAGACACTATATATAAATTGAAGTTGTTATTGTTGTTACTGAGCTTTCCAGCGACACGTGCATTACATCTAAGAAACCACTCCTTTGGGGTTGCCCTGATCTGTATATTCTGCCACATATTACGTACCACAATCTTCAGGTCCCGGGTGCTGCTCTCAGGGATTGTTACCCGATATTCTTCTTGTTCCCACCGGGGCGGCTGGTTATGTATGTTAGTAATTGTTACTGTTAGCTCTACACTGCTGCTTCGATTGCCTCCATCAGTGGCTAGGATTTGGCGACTGATGTGAGTTACCTAGAACGGAAAGAAAAACAATAAAATTGGAGATCTCACAATTTTAATTAGCATGGGTATATGCATCCAAGCCCCAGAATATATCGATAGATCACATTACACCAGACCTGAAGGCAGGTTCTGATTGATTGGAAAAAATTACAACTTCACCCCCCACCCACCAGTTTCACTCGATTGTGAACACTTTATTTAGCCGTCGCTGAGAGATCAAGCGGAATTGCAGCAGCATCAGAGAAGACTTGAAACTTTGTTATGCAATAAAGATATTAAAAGCCACATCGACACACACTTTAAACTTAGTATTGGTAATAACTCACTGTGATAAATTCACTGCAAAACAGCTATAATTTCATTCCACTGCACTGCGGGGGCGTTAAACAAAGGAACACTTGTATTATGTATAAAAAAAATACATTTTAATAATTTACTCACAAGCAAATTCTTCCGCCTGGAGCACTAAGCTATATTTTTGTTGCGCTCAAGATATCTGGCTTGTGACATTATGAAGTGAATTTTCACTCTGTTGGGAAAATTACTAAACCTGGTTGTGTGCACACAAAGGAAAATGTGATCACAAGTGCATGTCGCCATTTCCCAATGGAGGAACCTAGGCTGATTTACTCCTCCTTTGTCCACCCAAGGAGATAAGGTCACTTGTAGTACCCAACAACTAACACAGCACAGAACAGAGTTCGAACATATAAGCTGCAGGTCTGTATGGCCAGGTGCTGTGTACTGGTGTTACCCACTAGATCATCAGGGTAGCTCGAACTGTTCAGCTTCTATTAATTAACAAGAGTTGTCATGTCTCACTCAGTACCTGAGAAATGGGATGGTTGACATAAATCCAGCCTGTGCTGGGATTGATCTGGAAGTATTCAGGCTGTTGGAGTGATACGGAATATGTGATGACGGCGTTGGTGCTCTGGTCATCGTCATGAGCCGCAGCACGCAAGAAGCTAGTGCCCACTGGAGTATCTTCGCGCAAGTAGTCTAGTGCAGAACAGAGCAATCTAATCAAACTCAACACCTTTACTCCCAATTTTCAAAAACATCCCTTTACAAATCAACGTATTTAGTTATTGGCAGGGCAGAATTGTCAATAATATGTTACTTAAAACATCAGCGATTGCAAATATCATCTCTACATATTACTAGGGGTGCTGAATAAAGCAATTTTCTACTTGTGTACCTAACATCTGCATTAAACACTGACAGGTCATGTTTACCATGGTTAACCCCCAAAAGGTTTCATCAACTCCTAACAATGTGCCTGAGCCCCAATTCTCAGTAGAGCTATTGGACTAGTTGATCGCTTCAAATTTCTGCATCAGCTATCGAATGAGAAAATAAGATTGTAATTTAGTGAATGGCAGTTTTATACTGAGCTCAAGGGCATTGGAGACTAGAGGTAGTTGAAACTATCCAAACCATTTTTTTCAAGACCTTTACAGCCAATAAACATGGGGTGCATTGATTCCATCAGTCTTGGATGGATCCAAATTCAGGCCCCAGACACACAGGTAACCCACTTAGTCCCAATAATTATTTTTCAAACTCTACCAAATAACGAAGCACAGATTCTCTCAAAGATCGATAAATGTATAGACTTGACACCCAAACACACCTTATCAAGGAAAACACCATTATTGAGACCTCCGACCTAGCCATCAGATTGTAAATTTCTAATTGCTTGCCTATGTTGTTGGTTACTTAAAATTAACAAGAGCACATAATATTATTCACTTGAATGCGGAAGCAAAAGAGATTCTATAAAAAGTCTATTTTATCCTCAGATCCTGAATGAATTTTGCAAAGCATGAGTCCCCGGGCACTGGCTGGTCTCTTGCTGGAAAATGTGCACTGGAGAACATCAGAAAATGACAGCACGCATCACCTCATGTTAGCTGCTGTACATTCATTTAAATATAATAACATCAGTATAGACTCAAAGAGAACAGCTCAACCCTGAAACAAGTTAGTGTTTGATAGATATTATGTTGCCAAACAAAAGGAAAAACAGGACGAACACCTCATCTGAATAGAGAGCTCCAAAGGGGAACTAGCTCCATTATATAATTATAATAATCCTTGCATTTGATATAATGCCTTATCACCTCAAAAACCTTCAAAGTAGTTACTGTTAAGGCTAATTACTTTATAATAATATAATATAATAGTCCTTGAATTTAATATAGCGCTTTTCACGTCTTCTCGATGTCTCAAAGCGCTTCACAGAATATGCTGTAAAGTGAATTGACCGTATATTTGTGGGCGAAACATGGCAGCCAATTGCGCACAGCAATGTCCCACAAACAGTCGTGGATTGAAAATGACCAATTTATTATTGCTTTGTTTTGGAGGGATTATTATTAGGTGTGTGGAGTAAGGAAACTTGCCCAAGGTTTCGCCCTGCCTGGAATTGAACTCAGGTCTCTCGCTTGCAAAGCGAGTGCTCTAACCACTGAGCTACAGGACTTTGTAATTGTAGGCGAAGGTATCAGCCATTTTACACACAGCAACGTCCCACAAACAGGCACTAAGTGAATGATCACTTTAATTAGGGGATTGTTCACTCCAGGACTCTGGGGGAAATTCCTTTCTCTTTTTGAATAGTGTTGTAACTTTTTCATCGTCCATTTGAACAGTCACGGGGGACCTCGGTTTAATATCCCATACGAAGAACAGCAACTCCAACAATATGGTGTTTCTTCGATGCTGCATTGAGTGACAGCCGAAACCATGAATTTAAAATCCCAATATTGGGATACCTTCTAACCCAAAAGAACAGTGCTACCAACTGAGGCAAGCTGACACAATGGACCAAATAACACTTTGGTCCTCTTGTTGCTGATCATGCCAATGTTGCTTCACAAGATACCATCTTAATTTAATCATTCTGACAAAGGGGGTTAGGGGGATTGGGGGGGTTGCTGTTGAAAACCTTGAGATTATAATTATGGTTAATGTGATAACTGTCACATTGCTATTCCCCCCACCATAATAGTAAGAATGTCTCTTTTCTATCATTTATCTGAAGGCAGCTCTCGACCCTTACATTGGTAACGACTGTTCTCAAACTTGGGGTCGTTGTCGTTTTCATCGGCAATGACTATGGTTATCTGACAGATGCTGATCAGGGGCTCCTGAGCCTGATCGGTGGCTGTCACTGACACAGTGTATTCCCTCTGCTTCTCCCGATCAAAACTGCGGGTTGTGGTTATTGAGCCTGCAGAAAAACATGTACAAAATAATCAGCATTTACTGCTGCAATTGAACCAGTTAAAGGAGCATGCAGTTGACCAGTACAAGTCACTGGTAAGCTTCCTCTTTCATTTTTAGTTTGGATGACCCTATGTGTTACAGCGCTGGCCTGCAGGGTTATCAGGAATCGAGTGGGAAGAATCCCTGTGACATGTTGAATGCTTCAAGTCCCATTGATGAGCCAGGCAGGTTGAGCAATCATCAGCAGTGCTTTGGAATCCCTCAGGCCTGCCTGTGTGGGATATTAGATCACTGAGTCCACCATGCATAGTTGGCTCAGCTTTGCCTCACTATAAAGTCAACTTGACTCAGGAGAGAACCTGTATAATCCTGCCCCCGCACCCCCCCTCGCCCCCACCAACAGGGAGTGTTTGTACACCAGTTTCTGCACTAGGTGCCACGAGCCTATCACTCCCATCCTCACCTGGCTCTATTGGCTCCCCATTCCCCGGAGAATCAAGTTCAAGATCTTGGTCCTCACTTTTAAATCACTCCACTGCCTTGCCCCATCGTACCTCTGGGACCTTCTAAAACCGTACAAACCCGCTTTCAGCCTTTCTGCCCCCAATTTCTGGAATTCCATGTTGAAGTCCCTTTGCTTCACCCACTCCCTCTCCTCCTTCAAAGCCCGTCTTAAGACCTTCTTCTTTGACTGTGCCTTCGGCCATCATCTCAATTTGTTATATCATGGTCTTTATTAATAAGTGGGCATTTTGTTTACAATCAAGTGGATTTTAAGTACACCCTATTGTTCCAAGACATTATTACTTGTAAGGGGTATTAAATATGGTACATGGAAGTTGGTGTTATTGTTTTCACACAAGGGATACGACAGCCTAATTTGCAATATTTTTTAATGGGATTCCTTAAATATGGAATCTAAATCAGGCAAGTGTTGACTCCTTCAGCAACTGGAAGTACATCTGGCTGATGTGTGGTATCCCCACTCTGACGCAATCTACTTTCAGAGCAGAGTTCCCACTGGACAGCAGGAATTCTAAAGCGATTCCTTATTAAGGAATTCTGTGAAGCAATATGATGAACTGATCCTAAGTATCTTGCCTATAAAGGTTTACTGCACTAACTCTATTTCACAAAATTCTGGTTTCAATTGAACAATTTTAACTCATTTGCAAATCAGAAACTGCTTCTGTGTCAATGCCTTGAAACATTACAGAGTAATGGACTCACCGGTGTCAGGATTAATGTGAAAACCTGGAGTAAGGCCATCTCGGAGCATGAACCCATATTTCACCTGCCCATTCACTCCGAGATCAGCATCATACGCCTCGATTTGCAGTACAAAGGTTCCTGGGGGTTGGTTCTCCAGAACATAGGCATCTTCACTGTACTTGGCACACTGCAAGGAATAGAAATGTAGGTATCAGCTGGCTCGGATGCTAGCACTCTTGCTTGAGTCAGAGAACATGGGTTCAAGCCCCACATTAAGACTTTCAACACATAGTCTAGGCTGGGGAATCATTGTATTGTTGGAGATCCTGTAACACTATTTGAAAAGAAAAGGAAGGTCCACCTGACAATACTCCTGGCAATACACCTCCAGATAAAATTAGTAATTCTCTTCATGCTATTTGTGAGACATTGCTGTGCAAATTGGTTGCTGTGTTCGCTCATAGGTATACAAATACTATACTGCAGAAAGCTCTGAGAAGTGTGTATATTAGACATTATATCAATTTATTCAAATAATAATCCCTGCACTGCATTTGACGTTTTGCTCACACCTGGTGTTTCCCAGTGACCATACACTCAGAGAAGCAAACTTGACCATGGTTAGCTGAAAACACACAGAAGGCTCTCTGGTGGACCAGCACACACACACACTTCTGTGCTATAAAAACTTCTGTGATTTTGAAAAGACCTTGGTATAAGTGAATGCAGTTTTGTTATTTTCACACATTTCTCCTGGGGGGGTTCACCAAATACAGCTGACAGGCTTCAGAAGCTACCTGTTCCATGTTTTCCTAAGATTTTGCACTGTGGCAAAATTCAACCTCCATTGATAGTGTTCTGTGGCAGCCAAGAAGCATGTTCACCTTCCACTCCACCCCCCCCCCCCCCACCCATCCATGTGACTATTGGGTGTCAGATTATCAGCAACCTACTGGTAAACAATCACTTCACAGGATTTTACTGTATAGTGCAGCGACCATGTATTTGTAGATGAACGTAGCAACCAATTTGTGCAAAGTCCCACAAACGGCCATGAAATGAATGACCAACTTTATCTGTTGGCTTCATCTGACATGAATTAGGCCCCCGAGTTATGGGAACAGGCTACAGATAGTGGGAATGTTCACTATTGGATAACTATTCACTATTTGGAGAGTAATTCTATTGTGGGCTGTGAGAGATGGAGTGGTGTACAATTTTTTGAAATGAAACTTTGAGACTGTCCAGATGGTTTATAATGCTCTTTTCCCAACTTCCCCAGATTCCTATGGCATGCACATATGTGTATATTTCACCCATCAGCAGCAAGAACTATATTTGTGTATATTTCTGCGATGCAATTAAATCTTCTTAATTTTAAATTACATGTATACATAATCTCTTTTGTACGGGGTTAATGAAAAGTTTAGTCACTGCCTCTGGTCTGTGTCTCTGTGGATCTCTGTGCCCATTCCTCAAGTATCTGCCCTATTTCTCCCCATAGCCAGCCTGTCAATCTCTCTGCTCACATGCTTCTCTATGCATGACTATCTGTGGTGACCTGTTGCTCAAATGTGGAAAGAAAATGAGTGACAAATTGACATGACAGAGAAAGTGAGTGCAGTGAGGGAAGCGGTAGAGATTTAGAGACCGATACTGAGGTCTGGACCAATTAAGGCTAATCACCTAAGGCTCAAAATTCCACCTTGTGTTAACTTAGCATTGAAATTTTGGAAAATTCTTAAATTAGGTCTTAATTTGAAAACTTTTTTCAAAGGTGTTTTTAAAACAAACTGTTAAATCCAATAGCTGCTTGTGATGGATTTGGGCCCAACCATTGTGACAGAGTTGAGGAGGGGGTGCTCATGCCCACACTCAAACAACTAGCCTCATTGGTCACTTTTATCACAGGCAATAATTAACATCTCACACCTTGTAATTTTCACCCCCATATCTTTCAATGTGTCTCAATCGTGGGACTCTTGGTTTTGGTTCAAAAATCAAATTCTAATGTTTCCTACTATAGCAACATCACCCAGACGCACCAAGCACTTAATTCCAGTAGCATTCACATTCATTCTAGCTGCACTGAAATCTGAAATCTTGCTCCAAGTCAAGAGATTTCATTAGAATTAAGTTGCATCCGTTCTTCAACCTCCCCAGCCCCTGCTCTGGAAGTAGGCGCCTACCTCTCTAAAGACTGGTTTATTGTTATTCACATCATTGATTCCCACGATGACATGAGCGATGCTGCTCAGGGTCTTGGGACCCCCTGAGCTGTTGTCATCTGTTGCTGTGATGTTCAGGACGTACTGGGGTCCTTGCAGCAATGGCAGTGGGCTTCTGCGCAGTTTGATGATACCTGGTGGCACATGAAGCAGTCAGTAACAGTGTGTGCAGTGGGTCTAGATCTCTTATTCTACAACACACTCCTAGGAGTTTTCAGCATCAGTAAACATTGACAATAATATTCTTGTACAGGTACGCCAATGGCCACCCCCGTAGGACCTGTCTCAATTGGTAGCACTCTTGCTTCTGAGTCTGTAGATTGTGGGTTCAACCCTCATGTTACATAATAATCATTTAATTTGATGCAACACCTTATCATGTCATTGAGACATCTCAAAGCGCTTCACAGGATATACTGTAAAATGGATTGACTGTCCATTTTGTGGACCGAAACACGGCAGCCAGTTGTGCACAGCAATGTCCCACAAATAGCCATGGAGTGAGTGACCAATACAACAACAACAACAACAACAACAAGATTACATTTATACAGCGCCTTTCACGTCGGGAGGAAGTCCCAAGGCCCTGGACATAGTACAGCATTTCAGACCCAAGCTGGGGTTCTGGGGGTAAGGGAGGAGAGGGGAAGGGGGGTGGCCGATGGCATGGTCGAAGAGGAGGGTCTTGAGGTGGGACTTGAAGGAGGCTACGGAGGGGGCGAGGCAGAGTGACTGGTGGATGGAATTCCAGAGGTTGGGGGCAGAGTGGCTGAAGGCTCTCCCGCCATTGGTGGGGCGGGTGGGTTGGGGGACGTGGAACAGGCCAGAGTCGGAGGGAATGGGCGGGTTGGTAGGGGGTTAGGAGGTCGCAGAGGTAGGGTGGGGTGAGGCCATGGAGGGCTTTGTATACGAGGACCAGGATCTTGAACTGGATCCTCTGAAGGATAGGGAGCCAGTGGAGTCGGGCGAGAATGGGGGAGATGGGGTCACCGAGTTTGGTGCGGGAGAGGACACGGGCTGAGAGTTCTGGATTATCTGCAGCCTGTGGAGGGAGGAGTTGGGAAGGCCAACAAGCAGTTTGCATAGTCGAGCCTGGAGGTGATGAAGGCATGAACAAGACTTTCAGCGGCCTGAGGGGTGAAGTAGTGGCGGAGTCAGGCGATGTTACGGAGATGAGAGAAGGCAGAGCGGGTCATGGCTTGGATGTGGGGGAGAAAAGAAAAGACAGTTGAGGGTTGAACCTAGGTTCCTGACTGGAGGTGAGGGATTATTATTATTATATTACTAATATTATTAGTTACTCACTCCATGGCACCCCCCAAAACTGAATTGAAGTGACAGCTTAGACTAAGTGATTCAAGTCCCTATGTGGGGCTTGAACCCACAACCTTCTGACTCAAAGTCGAGGGTGTGCCAGGCTGACACACTGCACCTGCACCGGGCTGACACACAAACCATGTTAGGAATTTGAGCTCATAGTCTCGGCTGATACTCTAATGCACAGCTGTTTTAAAGTGATCAAATGAAAGAATTACTATTTTTACTAGAGCAGAAAAAAATTCCAGGTTTGACCACTTATCTGTCCTGGACTAGCCGATCTCAGCCAGGACTGTAGTTGGGGACAACAATTGATTTCAATACTTTAAGGCTAGAGAGAGGAAAGATCAGGCAGGGTTCATGCTTCTGATAACTAACAGTGATTTCCTACCTTTCACCCATGCAGAAAAGTGCGGGTGTGTGTCGATGTCAAGTGAGGCCAAGATTGGGCATGGGGCTATACTGTACCCCACAGCAGAATAGTTTGCTGACATTCACTATCTAAACTCACACAGCGTGCATAGCTGTTTAGACAAAGCATAGTAGGGACTGTTGGCACCTGTGGAAATATATACAGATCCTTCCCCCACACGCGAGACAATGGAAGAAAATAAAAGCTCTTGTAACAAACATAAAGTAAAGAAATAATAGCTGTTAGTATCATTGGCAAATCATCACTGCTGAACACTGGGAGCTCTGCATTGTAGGACAGGATATTTTCTATCTCATGTGAAGGGTGCTGTAAGCTTTAATTAAAGTGGCAAAGCCCCAATGTCACAGATGTACAATAGATCAGGATGTAATTTGCAACATGATAAACCATTGACCTTGATAAACAACCCAAGGGGAATTACAGGCATTGTTAATTCAGCTGGTAATACCTAATGACAACAACACCAGCAACAACAACTTGCATTTATATTGTGCCCTTCATGTAGAATAGCATCTCAGAGTGCTGTAAGTTGAACGGGTGAGTTGGTAAATCCTTTTCATTAGCTGTTAATTACAGAATTAAGTGCACTCTAATTCCCTCTTTATAGATGTGTTTGCACATGGTTTAATGTCGCAAATCATACCTCTGTGTCACCATTTGTCCCAAACACTATAATCATTTTATTTTTAAAGTGTCCCAATAAAGATGCAGAAATTTTATTGGAGGTGTTTCTGACCTGGTGCTAGCTTGCAGCCACCATGAGGAAAATGTCACTGGGAACGAGGCTCCTCCCAACAAGGAATGCTGCCTCTCTAAGGAAAACTCCAAATGGTAACGGGATCCTTTAATGCCTTCATATGGTAAAGGTACAAGAAAAATACTCCTGAGGCTTTACTGTCTCTTTATCACTTGAAGCACATAGCAACTCTTTGTGACCTGGCAGAGAGCATACAGCTGAATAAAGCTCATGGGATGGAACACTGAATCATTCAAATGATGTAGGCAACGGCACATCACCAACACCTTTCTGTTCAGTGGTGGCAATCTGGAAGCACTCATGTGGGAAATTGAACAAAAAGTTTGCTTTTTCTTTCCTTTGATACTTTACTGATAGCAGGGATGAGGACAAAAGAAACCAACAAACCCACAGGAGAAGTCAACTGGAATTGACCCACAATTATTGATGAATACTATAATAAAATAATGATAATAATCCTTGCATTTGATATAGCGCTTTTCACGACTTCTAGACATCCCAAAGCGCTTCACAGAATATACTGTAAAGTGAATTGACTGCATATTTGTGAGCGAACTCGGCAGCCAATTGTGCACAGCAATGTCTCACAAATAGTCGTAGATTGAAAATGACCAATTTATTATTGTTTTTTTTGAGGGATTATCATTAGGCGTGTGGAGTAAGGAAACTTGCCCAAGGTTTCTCCTTGCCTGGAATTGAACTCAGATCTCTCACTTGCAAAGCAAGTGCTCTAACCACTGATCTACATCTTCCACATAATAATCATGAGAGTCTAAAACAAGGCCCAGAGATCTTTAAACCAAAACAACGTAAACTGCGATCTGGACAATTGTGAGAATGTGACGGTGGAGTAAGACCAATCCCTCGAGAGAAGCAATGCTGGTCCCAATGAGGAATGAAGCCTCTGTGTGAAAATCTCTACATTGTCAACAAGGCGCTTCAAAACCAGCACATCGGGAAATATAGCAGCATTTAACAGAATAAACCCAATATTGATCCTGCCTAGTTGTACTGGTACTTGTAACTATTAGATAGGGCAGCTATTATTCTCTTATGTTAGTCATCACATGTGATACACGTATGTTTACAATAGTATTACCTTTCTGACTGTCCAGTTCGAAATTTCCCTCTTCATTCCCTCCAGTGATCGTGTAAGTCACCCCATCACCATCAGGATCCTTTGCATGAACCGTAGCAACCAAACTGTTGGGTCCTGCATCTTCCGAGAGAAAAGTCTTGTAGCTGGGTATAAATGACAAGAAAGGCTTGTTAAATAGGATGTCACTTAAAGCAATGGAGCTATGGACAATATCCATTCTGTTTGACATTTTAATTCTTCTTATTATTTAATAGATAATTTAATTTAATTTTCTTGCCAATATGCTTGGTCTACATTTAAGATTGACAGCAAAAGAGATAACCATTAACATGGTTTCATTCACTATGAGGTGAAATTTGTGACATTTTATAATGCTGATGTAGACATTGCTTGCTTTATGAAATATAATATGCCCCAATATTTTTCTTTGGGATTTCAAAGAATGGTTTGGGTTTATAAAGTTCCAATCTCATTCATCTCTGAATATGATATTGGTAGAAGTTACCCAAAACCCAGGAATATTTCAGGCTCATTTGAAATACAACTGGAAATCTCCCTCTACTCTCTCACTAAAACTTTTTTTAAAAAATCAGGAATCTGTATTGTGTCAATCACTAAAACTAGTAACAATTTTGTTACATGTTTAGTTTTATGATCAGAATAGGAAATCCAATTCTAAACACACAGATCAATGAGTGATTGACTCAATACCCAGCATCTTACACATCGTCACTTTTAACCTTGCCGACATGACACAGTCCGTGGCCATTGACTATATTACAGAATCTCCTTATAAATATCTCCATAGATTTCAATCCCCCTCCTTAAATAGATTTTTTTTTTAAAAATGTTAATCAACTCAGCATATTTAATGTTTAATCTTGAAGCCTTAATGATAAATTTTGATCTTGTCAAAACATTGGATAGTTTAATTATATCTTCTTTCTTCTTCTTAATAAAAATATTAGAACACTGTCTCTTTTTGATTGTATTTTTTCGTGTGTTATATTTCTGAATTACAATGATTACAATAAGGCAAATAGTGTCACCCAGCATGAAAAGACATCAACAAAAGTGGAAACTGAAAATGAGTTCTATGCTTCCAGATAATTGCCAGCTATTGTTGCAAATCAAAACAGATGCAGAGCCTTTTCTAGTCTGGCAGATGATAGCAGCAATTTCTTTTAATATGAGCAGTAAAAGTGCTTTTGTAACAGATTTTGTGTAAGACAAAGAGAGCCAGTTGACTTGAGACTTCACTGTAACATGATAGTGAAGTTCTACTTTTGTAATAGAGATTCGGACAAGCATTTGAAAGCTCAACAAAATGTTTGAAATCTCCAATATTGCCTCCCTGATTTGGTAGATTTATCGTTGATCAAAGAATCATTTATTGAATACCGTTTCTTCAACTGAAAACTCAAATGTCTGTTGCTCTTCCCAAAGCCCTGCCCCCACCCACCCATATCATTAATAGATTCTTAGCACTGTTCCTCCCAGGATCTATTTCAACTTGTACAACACCACTCAGTTGATATTGTTTATGCATTGGGGTTAAGGGAGAAGAGAGAATTGTAGATTTATATTTTGAAGTTTGAGATAATCAGAATGATTCGCCGAAGTTCAACATATTTAAAGATCTTGCTTGTTTGAGAAACAACTCAAAGAATCATATAAATAGAATCATAAAATTATACAGCACAGAAGGAGGCTATTCGGCCCATTGTGTCTGTGTCGGCTCTTTGAAAAAAACTATCCAAATCAATCCCACTCCCCCGCTCTCTCCCCATAGCCCTGCAAACTTGTCCTCCCCAAATAAATAGTATCATAGAATTATACAGCATCAAAGGAGGTCATACAGCACAGAATCTCTGCCAGTTATTCTTCCTTCTCCCTTGGATCAGGCCGCAGTCTGAAGCATCACATTCCACAGTGATTGACACCACTCCAGACCGCTACAGTAGGTATCTTACACAAGTGGAGCAGTGAAGGAGATTTCGGCTGCATCTAACTGCACTATATCTGACCTGGGTGCCAAATATCTTTAGCAAAAAAAATCTCTAATCTTGCTCAGCAAATTATTCACTGAACAAAGCTCTGTGGGAATATTTTGTATTTGAGACGTTACTTGGGACATCCTCCCGACCTGAAAGGCTCTGTATGAACGCAATTTGCTATTGTTATTGATGAAGACTCCCTCCAAGGCTTTCTCCCCCATTAAGGAAACAAGTAGTGTTTAACTGCATTGAGAATGGCTCACATACATGTTCTGTGAAAACACTGGGGCCTCATCATTGACGTTAGTCATCCTGATCCGCACCGATGCTGTTCCAGTCCGAGGGGGATGCCCTTTGTCCACAGCCACAACCACAAACTCGTACATGTGATTGGGTCGCTCGTAGTTCAGCTGATGATTTGGGCTGATCAGCCCTTGAGGGGTAACAGCGAACTCAGTGGTCTGGACGAAGTAGGAGATGTCTGCGTTGGGGCCCGTGTCACAGTCCCGTGCCAGCACTGCTCGAGAAGAAACAGCCAGTAAGAGGAACACGTCAGCTCATCACAGGAACCAAACAAAATAAATTGGCTTTAAATATCATTTTTGAAATGAAAAGAAAATAACATTCTCCAGAGAGAAGAGATTGGAGAAATTGAGGCTGTTTTCCCCAGAGCGTGGAAAATTAATAATAATGTCACAGGGTTTTGTGTGTTCGTGGAAATTACCATAACTGTAGTGGAAGCAGAATTCATATTAAATTTTAACAAGAAATTAGATAAATGTCTGAAAAGGAGAGGATGTGCAGAGAAGGCAGGAGAATGGGACTCAATGGATAGATCTTTCAGAGAGGCAGCACAGGGGCAATGAGCCAAATTACCTCCTTGTGTTCTGTAGGTCTCTACGGTGCACAGTATTGTGGACTTGTGTACACATATATTTACACAGTTTTGAACACTTCCCATGTGAGGAGAGGGGACCTGAATTGATCCAAGGCACTGCAAGATGAGGGGAGGGTTGGTGGGTGCTGCTCACAAATGTGGAAAGCGTTTCATATCCAATATAGTGTTGTGCTTACAACGGGTTAAAATGTGGAAGTAGAAGATGGTTCATTGTCAGTGTATCAGATTAATCTAGTCTGGGCAATTGTAAGCATAGAGAATGCTGAAACCCCTCCTATGTTTTTATGGAAAACAGTTGGTAACTCTCACCAAAGGATTGTGAGTGGTATTTTGAAAATCTATCAGCCATTAAAAGTTAGGAACTAGTTACTGGCCTGAATGTACTGGGCTGGTGGGTGTCTGAAGTCCTGCAGTTTGGTCAGTTTTCAATCGGGTTGTGGCCTTGTAGCCTGGTCAATTTCTGGGGTTTAATGCCAGCTGCGGGTGTTATACTGAGGGTAGCTCAATGGGCTTCACTTACAGAAAAACAGTAATCACTTGTGAGATGTTTCCACGTGATAAAAAGCACAAGTTATTTATTTTTCGCAGAATGAAGTGAAGTTAACTGAGTTGTGGATTTGTTTCCACTAATCATCCATCCAGCCTGGATTTGCCACCAAATACAAGTCTGGCTTGGTGTGCTTTGAGGAACGCTGACAAGGTACTTGGAAGCTTCAAGTTACAAGGAAGCACTTTATCAAATATAGACGATCAGCTCATTAAACAAAGTTAGTCAGTGTGTCTAACCATGTCAAATCCCCTCGCTGCTCCTCTCCTGCAGAGGTGGTTTAATTTGAACAATCTCATATTTCTGTCATGACATGAATAATCTTTCATTAAATATTCCTTTCAGGTAGAAAGGAGGTTTTAATTAAACGTACTTTACCAGCATCCTCACTTTATAAAAGTTCAAATCTAATTTGTATATAAATGAGTCAAGCGCAACTAAATGAGTCAATGTTGACATTTCTAGATCAAAAGTGACTTGAAAATAATCAAAGGAGAAAGCCCTGTCATTAGGAGCAGTGCCAACATTCTCGCCCTATTAAGAGAGCTAACTTCACTCTGCCTCTGATGAGGTGGCAGCAATAAAGAGCTAAAGCGTTCCTCTTTGTTGATGGATACGAAAGCTTTAATCTTATAAACAAATAACTTTCAGCCTCACAGAAGTGTCAACACAGAAAACACAACACAGAGCATGAGTAGACTGCAGCCTAGGAATTCAGTGAAGAGCACAGACAGCATATTAAGAGCAGCCTCATTCTACCAGCAGCCTCGCGAATGAAAGCTCTGCGTGCTTCAGGCTTCACTCAGTTCCTATTAAAACTGCATTCACTCTTTACCATAATATTTTAAACACATCCCAGGTATGCACACTTTGCAGGCTGCACTAATGGTTCACGTCCAATCTTGCCTGGCAGCCGTTTGCCCACTGAAGTACTAGATTAAATTTTTTTGACTTAACACTAGAAAATCTTTTAGCATATCAATTTAAAATAAATACTTGTCCAGTCGCTGGCGAGTTTCAAACCAGACATTTTTTTCATAGTTCTTCCAAGTGCATTTTCAATTGGTTTGATTGAATTCTTGACTCAGGCACTTCCAGGCTGACATTATTTGACATTGAAACATGACACTGAAATGAAAACATCTGCAAGGCTATGGGGAGAGAGCAGGGGATTCTGATTAATTGGAAAGCTCTTTCAAAGACCCGGCACAGGCAAGATGGGCTGAATGACCGCATTCTGTGCTATAGGATTGTATGATTCTATGGTTTACCACAGTATAAGATACCCCGACCATTTTACACTTTAACTTATGAGATTTAACAAGCAAAATAGGAATTATTTCCTCAGTATGATTGACCCTAACAGTGTTGCATTGTGCTTGGGGGGAGGATATAAATGGATTACAACATCACGAGTAACACTCCTCACAGTCATATAATCTGAGGCCTACAATTATTCAAGGTCTCTCTGCCTTGGAATTTCTTAAACATTTGAAATGTTAACATTTAAGGTTGCGCAGAATTGTGGAAATGTCTCAAATTTAATCTTCACCTGGAAGCTGAATTTCCACAAATGCTAAAAAAAAACATTCCAGGATGAAGGATGAATTTTAAGAATTGCTTAAAATTCTGTTAAATTTTAAGGCTCAGGGTCATTGCCACATTTTACAGCTTGCTTTTTGGGGTAGAAATTTCCCCAGTAGGTAATTTCCCTTATACTGAAATGTCCAGAATCTGGCAAATCTTAAAGTTCTTAAGTTATTTTAAGAAATACAAAAAAACGGCTTCAAATTTGAGACTGAACCCAACAATTTGTCAAATTCTGGGCTCTTTGATATAATAATGCTTACATTTGTTACAGTGCCTTTCACATGGGAAGGACATCTCAATATATTTTATAGGATATACTGTAAGGTGTAGCGACTTTGTGTAGGTGAAATGTTTGCTAAGAAAGTAGAGTAACTCTAGGCCCAGGTGGAAAATCTTCCTGTATGAGTTTTCTTTAGCTGAAGATCATGGGAATGGTTCACAGTAGCACAGATATATAGAATACATTCAAGGTTAATCGCATTTACTAAAAGCCCGGATAGTGGGCAGGAGGCACAGTATGTATAGATAGTTACATAATTAAAAATAAAGAGATGTACAACCTTGCAATAAGGACGTGCCCACGGGAATAGTTTCAGGAATGTTGTCACGACTGTAGATGGAGTGGAGGAACTCTGGCATGCAGTCATTTTCATCATTAATGTGAATTACTACCTGCAAGATAATGGGCAGACAGTAAAACACAGAACTCCTCAGAGGCAAAGTGAGGTGGCGGAAATTAATAATGCATGCAATTTTGTTAACTGTAAAAGAGAGCAATTTGTTTTAGAAGTAGCACTGTTTCCAATTTGTCCATCACAGACCAGCACTGCCAAGAGAAAGTGATGACTAAAGGAGCAATGTCCAATCTCACTTAGATTCTCAAGCCATGTTTGGGTGGGAGGGAAGGGGCCTTGCTGGATAAGGAAAAACATGCATTTTTATAGCATCTCATCATGTTACTATGTCTCAAATACTTCACAGTTACTTGCTGTCAAGCGTAGTGACTGCTTTTTTTCTTGGCAAATGTGGTAGCCATTTGCATTTGTAGGATTCCATGATCAATGTGGTGAAAGGACCGATTAATATAGAGGATTGTTGGCCAGGTCACCAGGAGAAAACTCCTTTCTCTTTTCAAATAGTTTCATGGGATCTTTGACATCTTTCTGAATAAGCAAGGCGGGACCTCAGTTTAGTGTTTCACTTTTTCACCGAGTTTCTCCCAGATCCTGGCCAAAAATACTTAATTCATCGTTCAGTTCTGGCTGTTTGTGGGGCTTTGCTGGTGCAAAATGGCTGCTGTATTTACCTACAAACACGTACTTGACATAAACATTACCTATGAAAAACTTTGATGAATTTCGACAAGATAAAACATTATTAAACCCAAGCACCATTATTTATTTAATAATACAGTTCAACTGCAGTGTGGGACATCTCTATAAGCGCAGCAAAAATTCTCTTCTAGTAATATCTGTAAGAACCATCTTATTTAAAACAGATAAATAATAACATGAAATAAATTAAATAAAACAGGTCACAATATTCAGGGTAATGAAAATCCTACTCTTTAACTTTAAAATATGTAAATACAATTTGCAGAATCTGATAAAATGAGCATGATCTTCACTTTTTAATCCACTGATTTATTTCATCTCGCGTAGACAAAAGAAAAGCAACTTTTAGAATTTCAACCCAAATAAAAGATGAACAAAGACATTCTTCAGCCTGAATGACAAATGACTTCATTAAAAGCAGCTCAGAAAGTCTGAGGAATCCACTTAGTCTATGCATCAAGTGCTGGAATGGTTTTACCGCAGGATTACCAACACTTTTCATGTGCGCGTTTTCCACAGATGGCATCAATATTGAAAGAAAGTGAGAGTCTATTAATCAGCATTAGAACAGCTTGAGAGTAGGGTGAGCTCAGCTCTAGGCTGATTACGCTTCCAATCTCCGAGCAGAGTCCCCATGTGTTGCTGCTTGGATGCTCTATATCCCCTGACTGCAGTCTGCTCGTTTTCAGGCAGTTATTGCCTGGGAATGGTTGCTGTTTGCATCTGTGTAAATTGTGGGTTTCTTTATTGACTGTTGAAAGTTTGTAAAAGTACAATATTTAACTTAATAAGCGCTGTGTTATTTTTATCCACGAGGCTACTTACAGCTCCCCCACCCCCACCCAAGAGATCTGTTGCTCTGAGAGTTTCTGCATCTTCACCTATGCTAGCATAGAGAGACACAGAGAAAGATAGTCAGCTTGAGAGAGTCAAGAGAGATAGAGTGTGAGTGTGAGAGAGAGCCACACACACACACAGATACACAGAGTGAGCCATGCGCAAATACAAAGAGACAGACACACACACACATTCAAGACGTGAAGAGACTTTCTCCCTGTTTGGGGGACCTGCTTTACTCCAATCAACTGCCCAATTTGCCTGGAAATACTGAGTCAGCACTCTTGATAGCAAATATTTGTGAAGTGTTTTTAACAGGTCAAAAGCAAAGGTTATTAAATCCTAAATGTGACTCCAGTATTACTGTAATGCTTAGTTTACACTGCAGCTGTACAGCAAGAGAGCATTTCATGCTTCCAGATAATTTTACAGAGAATTTTCATGCTTCCAGACAATTTTACCTCCATATATGTGCATGTAAGTAAGTTAGTTTTCAAATATTATAATGAGCCACAAGGCGGATGCGGGGTGTTTAATAACATGGAAAAGATTGGTGCTACGTTGGTTACTCCATTGATTTTAAGACACCATATTGGAGGACATGGTGTTGGGAGGAGGCAGGATCTGTGTTTAAAGCTATAACCCTCCTCCCCTCCCCACATACTGAGCTGCACAACTTTGTTGACCTGTTCAGGGAGAGTCACAAATGGCCTTGTTTCTCAAAGATGCATTGGAGGAGCAATCAGCATGTCCACCCTTTTGAATGAGTTATAATGGGTGGCACAGATTGCTGTGGAGAGGTATTCCTTAATTGGAATTAATAGTGTCCCTTCCTCATGCAATCTGGGGGCATTTGAACTGCACACTTGGCATCACAAAACCACCACCTGTTTGATCTCAGTCTCTTTCCTACACTTTTCAGGTGGTGTACCAAACAGAGGGCCTTGGCTCTTCTCAAATGCATTTCTCAATCCAAAAAATGTATTTTAAAAACAACAAACAGCAGAGTGTTGGTGATAAGAGATCACTGTCTCTCTTTCAAAAACTCACTCACTCTCTCTTGGAGTCCACTCTTGCTGCTTTCAAAAGCCATCCAAAAACCTATCTGCTTGACTGCATTTTGCACCTATCCCCTTTTCTCCCACCCAGCTCAGGCTCTCACTCCATCTCTATAAAGTACATTGAGATGTCATCCTATGTGAAAGGGACTATATAAGTACAATTTGTTGTTGTTGAAGAAAAAAAAGCTGAAATTATTAGCAATTCTACTACAAATCCAGAAATAGCTGAGGATACAGTCTGCCGTCCTGTCCTGTGAACACAGGCTGAAATACATATTTTACTATGCACCTTGTACCTAAAAGATGCCTCTAGGAAACTGAGGAACGGGTCCAGGAATATCAATGCTATAAATTATTTAACTCTCAGCTGTTGCTTCCAACATACCTCGGTGACACTGCTGAATCCTGTGCCTGCTTCCAGCGCTCGGACCAGCAGGTGGTAGAGGTGGTTCTCAGTTTCATAATCAATGCTGTGTGTCAGGCTCAGCTCTCCATTGTCCTGGTTTACACTGAACAGACTACTGGGATTGATCAGCAGGGAGTATGACAAAGGTCTTTTCTGGAACGAGATGGCTTCTACAACTACGAACCTGTCAAAGAGGAAGCATAAATAAGAGAGGTGTTGTTGTGAAAAATCATATTAAAGCTCCAGCAAAACCACAGGGGCATTAGTTACTTATAACTACCACAGACCATCCCCAACTGTCTAAATCATGAGAAGACTGTAATATCTACAGTTTTTTTTATTAATGTGAAAATCTATACAATACGTTAACTCCACTTTGTCTTGAAAATGCCCCCATGAAGTTTTAATACTAGTTACACTGATCAATAGATTACAGAGGTTTCTGTTTATTATCAAGAATCAAAGTATACTGTATCTTTTGAAATCTCTAGGCTCAACTTGTTTGTTAATGGACCTGAAATACTCATGGACTTAGCTTGAAAGACTATTTTGATTTTAAATTTAAGACGGTGCAGAACTATGAAAAAATCTTAAATTCAGACTTTATTTGAAAGCTGGTTTTCAAAATTTTTAAAAAGAACCAGGTTCTAAATTAAGTCTGAATCTAAGAGTTTGCCACAATTCCGCTCAATCTTAAACAGGTTGGAATTTCGAGGCAAGTGATGTGTGCATTTTCTAACTTAACATAGTAATGTACCCATTGGGAAAAGATCACTGTTCTCCATTTGTCCAATCCTCAAGACAAACAAACGAATGAGCAAATCAATAAACAAACCAACGAAAAGATCTTATACCGTTCTTGTCTCTCACATTCCTCAATTGAAGAAAATAGCTGTCTTATTTCTTCTTGAATTTGTTGATACAATATGCTTCCTGAGGCAGTCTTGTTCTATATATTTACCACTCGTGCAGTCAAGTGCGCTTGTCAACAAGTAATAATAACAATCCTATAATTATGCTTGCATTTGATATAGCGCCTAGTCACATCTTCGAGACGTCTCAAAGAACTTCACAGAATATACTGTAAAGTGAATTGACTGTATATTTTGTGGGCAAAATAATAATGCATTACAAAGAACAGAAACTATTGTGTACAGTGCTGAGGTTGTACTAATCTATCTCTCTCACCGTCTCCACTTTGTTGCCTCTAACGGTTTCTCCTCCAGCGCCCACACTGTCACATCTGGCGTCCCCCAGGGCTCTGTCCTTGGCCCTCTCCTCTTTAATATCCACATGCTCCCCCTTGGTGACATCATCCGCAGACATGGGGTCAACTTCCACATGTATGCGGATGACACCCAACTCTATCTTTCTGCTCCACCCTCAACTCCACGACATCTGCTGTCCTGACAGACTGCCTATTGGACATTAAGTCCTGGATGAGGGCAAATTTCCTACAGTTGAATGTGAACAAGACTGAGGCCCTCCTGATAGGCTCACGCCAGCACCTCTGCACCTCAGGCTCTGGCAGCATCAACCTCCATGGTTGCACACTTCAACTCACCAAGCCAGTCACGAACCTAGATGTCTTGTTCGACCCTCAACTGTCTTTTCTTCCCCACATCCAAGCCATGACCCGTTCTGCCTTACCTCACCTCCGTGACATCACCCGACTCCGCCACTACCTCACCCCTCAAGCCGCTGAAACTCTTGTTCATGCCTCCATCACCTCCAGGCTCGACTATGCAAACGTCCTGCTTGTCGGCCTTCCCAACTCCTCCCTCCACAGGCTGCAGATAATCCAGAACTCTGCAGCCCGTGTCCTCGCCAGCACCAAACTCCATGACCCCATCTCCTCCATTCTCGCCCGAATCCATTGGCTCCCTATCCTTCAGAGGATCCAGTTCAAGATCCTGGTCCTCACTTACAAAGCCCTCCATGGCCTCACTCCACCCTACCTCTGCGACCTCCTAACCCCCTACCAACCCACCCACTCCCTCCGCTCAGCCGGCTCCGGCCTGCTCCACGTCCCCTGACCTACCATTGTGGGAGAGCCTTCAGCCACTCTGCCCCCAACCTCTGGAATTCCATCCCCAATCACTCCGCCTCAACCCCTCCTTAGCCTACTTCAAGTCCCTCCTCAAGACCCTCCTCTTCGATCATGTCATCGGCCAACGCCCTTTCTCCTCTCCTCCCTTCTCCCCTCCTGACCCCAGCTCAGGTCTGAAATGCTGTACTCTGTCCAGCGCCTTGGGACGTCCTCCCAACATGAAAGGCTCTATACAAATGTAATCTTGTTGTTGTTGTTGTAGTCTGTAATAATAGTAATCTTTTAGCATTTGCATTTGAGATAGCTCAACAATGCGATAAGCACTATATCAAATGCAAGGATTATTATTAATAATATACAGAGAACATCACGTGCAGTTCTCAAGCTGCAATAGTCCGTAATAGGTCTCACACACATAAAGTGGTAGTACCCAAATACTAAGTGGAAAATTGGGCTATTTTCTTGGGTGCATTTTGTTGAGTACTGACTCTCATACATAATCCTAGTGCAATAGTGCAGTAGGTGGCAAGCAATTATTATGACAGGAGGTTTTAATACTGAACTGATAACTTGTCAAGCATGGCAGTCCGTTAACATTGAGGTTAATAGCATAACTGGAAATTGGGAGTCAGCTCTGATTTTCCATCGGGCATCTGTATTTAAGATTTTTCAAGGTAAGTTGGAGCCAATGCAGAATATGTGCACTGTCAGTGATTCGTGGGATTAAACAAACTGAAGCAAAGTTAAAGCAATCAGATTATATCTGAGTTATTATCGGTGTTCAAAAGGAGTAGCTGTGAGGATACCATGATCTGCCGCCACAGGGAAGTATCGTTGAGGTGAAATTCCACCTGGTCTAGATTTACTCTATTAATGTAGTATTTCAGCACATCCAGAATGTGGCAAATGGTTGAATTCAGTCTGAACTTTGAAGTCAGTTTCCTGGCAGGTTTTTAACAGAACGTGTAGAAAATCATCTTCAAAATTAAGGCTAAAATTGAAGAATTTATCAAATTCTGGACCCTCTGAAATGCTGCGTTAATGGGAGTAAATCTAAACCCAGGAGGAATTTATACTCATGTTCATAAAGCTGCAGTCTGTCAAACTTTTACATTGTCATTTCTGGACACATAATGTTACAATGTAAATTACATCACATTACTACGAATAATAAACACAGCACCTCTGAATTGCCTGCAAATGACAATTTATCAACCGGTAACATCCCGTGTGTCTGTTTTATGGCTCGCTGTGCCACCTTGCCCTCTCAGTTCCCTTCAGCATTGTTCCATTCTGCTCTATCGCCTTAGTACGGTGCGCCTCTCCATGACACCATTTTCATTGCTCAACTCCAACCTGCCCTCGTTGCCATTGCTATCCCTGTTTCTACCCTTCACGTACTTCAACTCCACCAAAGCTCCATGGCCTGATTCCTGCCTTTTATCACCATCACCCTTGTTCGGCTTCACTGGCTCTCTGGTCCAACCGCAGACTAATTTCAAGATCTTCATCCTTATTCTGTATCTTTTCATAGCCTCACTACCAGTACCTGTGCAATCCCCTTCAACTCCACATCCCGCCCCACACACTCCGAGTCTGATTTTCTGATCCTGATATTGGATCATGTGCTCCGCATGAAGGGCGCTGTATAAATGCAAGTTGTTTTTGTTGATGTTTATTGGTTTGGTGCTCCACTTTCTCTGCTCCACTCTCAAAGCAGAGACTTTTGCCACCACTCCTTTGTCCTCTCTTCAAAAACCATGTTCCTTTACTCTCTCCTGCTTTCAAATACAGTATCTAAAGACCTACTTCTTTCAATATTTTTCCTTCCCAGGGTTAAACACTTTGAGAAGTTCCTTTATATAAACAGTGTCACACACAGTACAATGCAAGCTGATAGATAAGTTGTTACTTTTTTGTGAAGACAAGGCTCCTTTAAATAAAAAGCTGACCCTTTTTTAAATAGCAGGTCTCACTCAATGTCTGCCCAGCAGGCTCTGGCTCCCTCCAGGTCAGCTGCAGTGATAGATATGATAGTGAGACTATCACATCCATCACAGCTGTCTCCCACAGGCTGCCTTGGGGAATGAGGCCAGGCTGCAGGTTGGAGGCAATCTGCAGACTCGGTCGGCTCAGCTCAGCCGCTCTTACCACAGCAGCGCTGGAAGGGAGTTGAAAACGTTTGAAACTGGAGTTGGGATTTTACCACCAACCATGACAATTAATGCCCTGTTTATACTGCTGCAGGCAAAGCAACTTCACTTCAAGCAGGAGAGGAATAAGGAGCTGCGACTGTGGCTGAGGAGAAAAAGCTGAGCACATGTGCAGCGTGTCAATAGATAATTTAAATGTTACTAAGGAGGCGGTCACTCAAGACCACTTTCTGGTAACTTTCTTCTGCAGTGTGTGTGTGTGTCTAGGTGTCTCACCTCAGGCTCGAAAGGCATCAGAGGAACCACACTCACTCTCCAACTCTGCGACTCATTCTCATTCCAATTACATCCAACAAGAATATCAAGCTATCACTACTGATCTTTACCTGGGCAGTGAGCTAGTGTGATTATTACCTGAATAGGGATGATTTTCTCCCCGTATCAGCCTCTCCCATCCTCTCCACCCCCGCTGTCCCCCATGGCTTCAATACAGTATAATTCCCCAAGGGAATCCCAACAGCAAAATCCTATCTAGATCACAATGTGCCAAGATGGTAACATGAGGTTGGTAAAATGGGGGGAAAAAGGCCAATCTCAACACAAGTATAGTACATGAGGATTACTGAGCTTGGTAATAATGATCACGACGTAAGTCATTTTCCATAGTTCATCTTGAATTTAGGCTGATACTTATCATCAAATGCATTATGAAATGCCACAAGATTATTCTGTGTCAGATAATCTCTGCCCTCATCATCTGCTGCGTCAGTTTACATTTGATGCCACAGGGGCAAATGTTCCTGTTTTATGTAAATCCAGGCAGATGATTCACCAGTTAGTTCAGGAGCAGTCTGAAGATCAACTCAAAGCAGACCTTCACATCATTCAGAGCATTTAACTTACACATTTCATTAAAAAAAATCACAAAGTGTTCCGCTAATGTTCAGCAGAAAATAACACTGCCTGGTGTGAAACTAAGAC